ACATTTCTAAATGGTATATGTAAGAAAAACTTATAAAAATAAATAAGGTTTCACAGACGAGCGGATATAGTGGGCTCCTATAGATGTGTGTGTGTGTGTGTGTGTGTGTGTGTGTGTGTGTGTGTGTGTGTGTGTGTGTGTGTGTGTGTGTGTGTGTGTGTGTGTGTGTGTGTGTGTGTGTGTGTGTGTGTGTGTGTGTGTGTGTGTGTGTGTGTGTGTGTGTGTGTGTGTGTGTGTGTGTGTGTGTGTGTGTGTGTGTGTGTGTGTGTGTGTGTGTGTGTGTGTGTGTGTGTGTGTGTGTGTGTGTGTGTGTGTGTGTGTAATAATAATAAACTGTTTATTAATAGAATTGCAGCCGGTGGCTGAAAATATACAGACTTACATTTGATTTAGACTTAATGATATATTATGCATTGAATACAATTACAGGGCTGTACAGTACATAAATCAGGAGTTGTTTATTATTTTAACAATAGATGGGATGGTGTTGTTCTTATATATATCGGTGCGGGCTCTTATGGGCTGAAATTTGTTGTAGTGGCGGCCTGCGCGAGTTGGGTGGGGGGCTGCAGGAGGTGGCGATGACGAGGGTGGTGCAGTGTGTGTGTGTGTGATTGATTTTAAAACTTGAAGGAAGAAAGGGGGAGTAACTTTATGGAGGAAGGAGCGAGGAGGAAGTAATGTAATAAAGGAAGGAGGGACTGCCTCTGGGTAGTGTCGCACAGGTATACACCTGATGGACATATTGACGACGGCACGCCCTGGACGGAGGTTTCTTCAGATACCATTTCCATTGGCCGTCTCTGAATATTTTGAGTTGTATCTTTCCTAGTGGTGATGACCTCACACCAAAAAGTATCGGTGCAGGGTGAAATCGACGAGTTCCCAAACGATACGTATACACTGTGATAAGTCGGGAAGGTTGGTAAGTGTATCCTCATAATCCCCCCCCCCCTCCACTGGGTGTTGCCTTATGGCTGACAATCAGGGCTGCCAACATACGGCTGGAACAACTCGCCTTTCCTAATACCTATCGTCACTGGTCTCAAATTGTTCACACTACAGTATGCACCGATACTTTTTGTAGTGAGTGTACATGCGGACGAACTTGGCTTTATTTTTTTTTCAACCGTTCAAAAGTTTTCCTGGTGTAAATAAGCGAATGAACGCCTCGGATTACTCATGTCTTCTGAATTCACTCTCAGCCACTACTCCCAGATCAGTTTCCTTTCTCTCTTTTTAATTACTTTCATTGTCATTGCTCATATAATACGCTCCTTATTGTTCTTGCCTTGCCAGCGGTTATCACTATATATATATATATATATGGATACAACTTTAGTTACCGTGTCGGAACATCTTTGTAACCTCAGTAAAGATACTCTTATGGAGACCCACAGTCAATTCGGTTTTTTTAATATATGATGATTATAATTGGTACCTGACCTACTCCCTTCTGAGATGCCATTTAACCCCCTTCCTTCATCCGCAGCTCAGTCAGTTCAGAATCTATTTATATCATCACACAGTCGTCTGTTATGATAGTTGGATGAGATTTACGGTGTGTTTTTAGGGGAATCAGATGCCGATGCGGAATCTTATAGAATACTTTCACAACCTCCTGCATGTAACGTAACCCTTCATTATTTGTTATAATGAAGTGCGGTAAGTGTGGTAGATGTGGAAGGTGTGCCGCCTTATTTAGTAGTTTCGGTTACGTATTGAAAGAAGAAGTTATCTCAGTCTCAATATAAATATAAATTCTCCATTCTTAAGTTTCCTCAGGAGACATCTTAAGAAGTCCGCTCCGTTTAAGAGTAATCTGAGTCACTCACAGGATCTGTTCTATTTTGTATGTTCTGCTGCCAACTTATTCATTTGTGCTTCTGTGTGCTTCGCTGGTTGAAGCTCTGCGCGCCCACACTGAGAAAGAAAGTTGGAACTTGATTTGTTTTTGTGGCCGTCGACGCTTGGGTCACGACATGGCTGCACCACTGTACTGTATATCGCTGCCTCGAAAGTAAGGTGTTGAGGAAATCCGTGACAATTCTCTTGGTGTTTTCTTCTGGGTCACTAAGCAGTCAAAGATAACACTCACTTTTTATTTTTGTTTGTTTTTATTTTAAAAGAGTATTTGATTATGAATGGACTGCTTGAAAGACGAGTAGAACACTTTTCCTGCACCCGACGTCATGAGAGAATGTACTAGAATGTAATCGACACTAGTAGTTGTCTTTCAGCGTGCTTTAGTCAGCCAGCTGGTACAGTAGTCTCTCAAACCTAACCTAACGTTTATCTCGAGTATCCGAATGATCTTGTTTATTTCATTATTAGGCCCGCGACACTGTATGCTGTACACGTGATAGTGACCTTGCTTGTATATATTATAATCGTATGTTAATGAGACCCGGGTTATTGTGTTGCTGGGACCTGTTTGTCTGTTTGTCCAGCTTGGTGATGAGCGGCAGCAGCGGGGGTCTTGCTTCAGTGTTCTGTGTCTCTGTGAGCTATACATATCCCAAAGTCTGTCTGTCTGTCAGGCATAGCAAAGTTTCTGATCATTGTACTAATAACGACTTAGAAAATGTTGAGAATGATCATTATTTGTGACAAATATTATGTGTACTTATCGCTGGATTGTTATTAATATTGTTGTATATCTTCGTTACGAATACTGTTATAAATATTGTAATTAATGTTTTTCTAAGAGATAACAACAGCAATCTTCTTGAAAATTCACAAGATTCTTACGGTCTTATGAACTAATATATACTTAAGTACTGTTGAATGATCAGCTCGGATAGTCACTTTGTATTCCTTTTGCCAGCTCTAATATAGTACTTTATATATCGCCTCATTCACTGAACCAATTGGTATCTGTATGTTGTTAAAAGTGCTGAAAAGAATATTGTATAAACAAAAACAACTGACATTAATCAACAACCATTTTTTTTCTATCATTTTCGAATGTGAGCGAAAAAAATTGTCTATATATAATTTCATACACGAGAATGAAGGTTATAGAGGTATACCTGAAGATTACCTGCCTTATTTCGAGATAAAAAAAACAATTGAAACTTCTAAAATCCTGATAGTTTTTAGTAGTAGTTAATTCTGTTATAATTCAAAAGTACTACGTAAGAACTTAGCACACTTCTGTTCGGATATGTGAGAGTAGTCTTGCGCAAGGTTACAGTGGGCCCCATCACCCTGCTCCCACCCACACGACGTGCCTTGGTTGTCTAACAGCTTTCATCCTCTATTTTTCCTCAGGGTATTTGGTACAACACTTAGTATATTTTGAGCATTAAAAAAACATATATATATAAATATATATATTGTATATTTTCTCAAACAAAGGATCATGGCGGGTTCGATTCCCTAACACAGTAGAGGAATTGGGTTCCCTTCTTGCACACTACACCAGCCCTTGTACAAACAGCAGTGAGTGAGTAAGTGATGTGAAGTGTCTGTTGATGGTGAAACATCCCTTCGGTGGACCAACATCCTGTCGAGAGAACGGAATTGTCACTCTCTGCTTGAACTAAAACATCAGCACATGCCCGCCCGCCACCGACTCCCTGCATCACAACAGCAGCTTGCATGTGGGGGTTGACTTGAGGCTTGGCGCCAGTCGCGCCACCTTCCAGATTATTTAGTTTCGTACGTTAATTATTTAGTTCGTAGCTGAGGAGAGAATTCTTCTGGTTAATATTAGGTCTCTAGTAACGTTTTTCAGTCATTTGGGAAGCTATCTTTAAGTCATATGAACATAAGAAAATAAGGAGTCTGCAATAGGCCGGTTGGCCTGTGCATGGCAGCTCCTGTCGAGAGTTACTACCACTCTCTATCATCCATGAATCTATCTAGCCTACTTTTAAAACTTTCCAGCGTTCCAGCACTTACTACAAAGTTGCTAAGCTTGTTCCACTCGTCCACCACCCTATTTGTGAACCAGTTCCTTCCTATCTCCCTCCTAAACCTAAACTTAGCCAGCTTAAATCCGTTGCTACGAGTCCTATCCTGCTCGGATATTATAAGAACTTTATCTATATCTCCTTTATTAATTCCTTTCACCCACTTAAATACTTCTATCATATCTCCCCGCACTCTTCGTCTTTCTAGGGAATGCAAGTTTAGTTTCTTTAATCTATCTTGATATGGAAGGCTTCTAAGTCCCGGAATCTTTTCGCCATTCTTCGCTGCACCGACTCCAGTGAATTGAGGAAACGTTTCCACAAGCATTTCGAAGTTGGAAAAAATAACGTACGATTGTTTAAGACCAGACTATAAATGTGAGCGTGTCAGCTGTATATTTAATTTGATATCATTAATATCTGTATGTTAATGTCAGTGGAAAGTAATGCGTCTCTGGATAGCGATGCGTCACAACATACCAATTGCGTCCAGTTTGCGCTCGCGTCGCCTGATGCACGTGAGTTACATAGCCAACTTTTTAAAGTGTATCTCAGTGTTCTGTTGATATTGATGGCATACGGAGGAATTGTGGGTAACATGAACTTCCAGTCGCCATGTGGTCGTTCGGTTACGGTGATAATTTTTGTGTGTGTGTGTGTGTGCAGAGAATAATTGTGTCACCACCCATGTTTATCATTATCTTCTGTATTTCACAAACTGTATATAAGCTTCGCGTTTTCCTCAAATTTTGCTTTTCCCAGAACCAACTCGTCCCTGTTATACTCTTCATGGGCCCTGTGGCGCCGGACACAAGGGCTAAACTCGCTCCATCATGACGTCATACTTTAAGTCCAGCTGTTGCAAGTTACTTGATTCGCGTTTAGCTTAAAATATTTTTTTCTCTTCAATTTAAAATCGTTCTATAATGAGTTATATAAAATGTGTGTTGATATTTATTAAACCACGATTTTGTTCTTGTTCTTGTTTTTTTTCTTAACGTGGGTGTCTGACTAGGAAAAGAAAAACAATGTAGAAATTCCTCACGAGTTAACCCGCATCTTCACCACCACTGCAGGGTGCACAACCGAACACAAACATATCCTTGAGTTACCATTTGTGAGACGCCAGAGACAAGTCGATGTACGTGAGCTTTTGCTGTCCCCTCACTTACTGTTTGTCAGGCACCTCAACAACATCACAAATAGGACTGGACCTTGATAATACCCGCTTGTTCTGTACCGTAGACGGATCCCAGCGACACCTTCCTGACGACAACCCCTTTTTACTTGGGGGATCCTTCTGAAGGTTAGTAGCGCATCACTGTAACAGATAGGTAGGTGATAGTTATTTAATTATCGAAATTGTCGGACAAGTTCACAGTGGCTTAGCATGTACGCAATGCGATATCTGTGTGATGTAACCATCGTGTGATAATTTTGGAATGTGTAGGCAGCAGAGCACGACATTTTACTTGCGGTTGTATTACATCTTTCTCTGGCCTTGGTGACCTGTTTTCTTTACACTGTTCCTTACGGTGCTTCATGTTGTATCGATAAGGATCTCTGAAGTAGTTGTAGCTGGTCTTATTGTCATGCTATCCTCGCAGACGCTGTAGTTATAGATAGTTGTTGTGGGTTCAATTGTAACTTTACCTAACAAAATGTGTCGGTCACAAAGAACAGTGAACACACTTAACAGATTAAAACACATTTAATTCCTGATAGTGTGTTGTATAAATTGACATTGGCAAAAGGACTGAGCCGTGTGGGGGGGCCTCTCTAGTCATGTCATTATATGGTGGACCATCGGAAAAGCATTGGGTAGATAAGGATATCGTGTGTAGTGAAAGGTCCCTGAGTAAATGCAGTTGTCTGATTCATTGCCGATTATTATCCAGGAATTGAATGATAATCGAGATATATACAAATAAGGAAAACGATAATTAGCATTCTGATATTTTGATTGGATTGCCTGCAATTCATAGTGTCCGTAGACAAATTACTTATATATGATGTAGTAGTTAATGGTACTGTATGTCTGATGATGAAAGAGAATCATATTTACAAAAATAAATCATATTCAGGTTGACGGTACAGGCGTACTGACTGACCGACGCCTGTATTCCTATCAACAGGATATCCCTTCACACTCGTAGAACAGAGCAGAACAGTTTGTTAGTGTTTACAGTAGAACACACACACACACACACACACACACACACACACACACACACACACACACACACACACACACACACACACACACACACACACACACACACACATACACACACGCACTTTACGTTGACACTACAAATAATAACCGCTACCACTCCTAACTTTTCACTTTCTGGTCACTTCATATTTATCTTCTGAAGCGCTAAATTAGACAAAAACACGGACTACCATTGATATTTATGATATATTACTGTGTTACCCTTTACGTGTTTATGATAGATAAATAGTATTGTTGAAGCATTGGGAACTTTACCTTTTAGATAGTCAATCTTGATATACTCTTAGGGAAGGTATTTTAATCCACTTTAATATAAGGACCAATCCCCCTTAAAATATATATAATGTTTTTATTGGTTTATCATCCCATTAAATAACGACTAAGATAACATAAATACAGATGACGGATTTCCTTATCCCAGAGGTCGAGAGGGACGCACCTAGGATCCCCAGAGGGTTATGCTGAAGGACCAGTTTTCCTTCTTCGGGCAACTAGAGTAAACCCCCCCCCCATCCTCCCCGTGAACTACGATGTGTGTGTGTGTGTGATGTTAAGTAATAATGTGCTATAACAACTAAGGTCTTTAGGCGCGGATTCTGTGTTAGTAAATACACCATCATTTATATAATTAAGAAAGGTAAATCTCTCCAAAAGAAACAGCGTTGAAAGAGTTATGGAAGTAGGTCTGTTTTTTTTATCTTTATATTCAATTGAAGTAGATTTTGTTGGAGTAAGGAAATATATTTTTCAGCCTTGACGAGAATCCTGATTTAAAGGTTCGGGTTGTAATGGTGGCTAGCGGTGAAGATGGTAGAGAAGAGGAGATGGTAGAGAAGAGGAACCGGTACGTTAAATTTATCATTACATAAACACCTAGAGCATTATGATGTTATTTCTGGAGTGTGATGGCAACTTTTACGTATCGCCAATTAACTCCCCACGCATCCCGGATTAATGGCCAGCTTTATGACTTGTAGACACAGCTGACCTTACCATCTGTAGGCAGCTGGTGTCCTTGTTGACCCAGGAAGTGTTTACAGTATTATTCTACTCTCCGGTACTTCCGTCTCATCTGAGTTTGCTAACAGAATCGTGTGGAAATTGTGGCATCAAACACAGAAATTTCTTGTATGTTTCCTTAGATAACAATTAGATTTTCAAGCTTTTTATTGATTCATTCACCAGAAGGCGCCTGTTTGTCTCACGTACACAGCAAAAAAGTTGCGGTGCTTCTATAGCGTGCGGTCTGCAAGATATTTAGGGTTTAGGTTAGGTCAGGTCAGGTTAGGTTAGGTCAGGTCAGGTCAGGTTAGGTTAGGTTATATAAATATGACACCGGACGAATTGTTCAGAACTAAGATTTTTGATCATGCGTCTTGTGGTGCATTAATTACCCTTTATAATAGAGAATGTGGATTGGCTGGTGACACACATTTTCTGTATCCATATTTGTATATATAAATAAAACTACATTAATATTATGTTGACTGTCACCCGTGTTACAAAAAAAACATTGTTATTATGTTAATGTATGAAACAATGGTGGTGTAGTGGATTCCTCCCCCCACAAACGCTTGTCGCCGAGTAGCCGACCCCGCGAATTCCCCAGTGTATGCCTCGTGGTCTAGGTCAACCAGCGCCACCTTACATGACGGAGGTCAACTATTAAGAACATAAGAAAATAAGGAGTCTGCAATAGGCCGGTTGGCCTGTGCATGGCAGCTCCTGTCGAGAGTTACTACCACTCTCTATCATCCATGAATCTATCCAGCCTCCCTTTGAAACTTTCCAGCGTTCCAGCACTTACTACAAAGTTGCTAAGCTTGTTCCACTCGTCCACCACCCTATTTGTAAACCAGTTCCTTCCTATCTCCCTCCTAAACCTAAACTTATCCAACTTGAATCCGTTGTTCCGAGTCCTATCCTGCTCGGATATTATAAGAACTTTATCTATATCACCTTTATTGATTCCTTTCACCCACTTGAATACTTCTATCATATCTCCCCGCACTCTTCGTCTTTCTAGGGAATGCAAGTTTAGTTTCTTTAACCTATCTGATATGGAAGGTTTCTAAGTCCCGGAATCATTTTCGTCATTCTTCGCTGCACCGACTCTAGTGAATTGATATCCATTCTATAATAAGGGCACCAGAACTGAACCGCATAATCGAGGTGCGGCCTGACTAGCGCAAGATATAGTTGCAATAAGACCTCTGCACTCTTATTACTTACACTTCTAGATATAAAACCCAATACTCTGTTTGCCTTATTTCGAACATTAACGCACTGTTTTCTAGGCCGTAGGTCCGGGCTTACAAGTACCCCTAGGTCTCTTTCACAAGTCGACTTCTCTAGGTTGATGTTGTTAAGGCTGTATACATTGACATTTGTTCTTCCATGACAGTATTTGTTCTTCCACGCCTACCTCCTCTATATAAGACCTGACCTCGTGGTGACCTACCTCTCTCTTTCTACCTACACCAACCAGTAAGCACCACCTCATCCTCCACTCCTGCCCTGCGGTCCTCGCTCTTGCCGACGAGCATGGCGACCCACAAGCTGGTCCTCCTCTGAGCACCCTCACCAACCAGCTCTCTCTACATCACGCTTGTAACCACGCTGCCACTTCCCAGCACCAAGCTGCATTGTACATCCAATACAACATGTATACAGAGAGCACATTGTGAGTTTCTTTTCTCCATCCCATCCTGAGTGTGAACCAAACAACCCGTACCCCACAGTGGCATATGTTTAGTGGTAGTAAGAGTGCCGTGACGGGATATACCCACTGAGTAGACGAGAGCATTGTGTATTGGAAGTTGCCAGACATTACCTGTAAGACTTACTGTATATTACGTGCATTGAATACATCATAACTAATATAAGCTTAAGTCCTCGCCTTGAATTGTGATAATGCCTGCGTACAATGCTTCTGAGCTCTCCATAGTGAATACCAACATCACTGACAGGAATCAACATTATCGACTCTGGTTGTGTTTCATATGTGGAAATAATTAAAAACAACTTTGGATTCAGCTGATGGCATCCTTTGCTGTCGAGTTCATGAAGTGTTTCGTAATATTATTGTTGTGCTCGAAAAAAAATGTAAAGGTAAATAACATGTTTATTAGTTTTAGGGTCGCATGATCGCTACTGTGTAAACATTGAATTTGTACTGCGTTTATAAATATAACAAGAGTCTGTGTGTCTGCATTACAGTTAAACAAATACAGTTATAACATATGTCAAGGAGCCGCGGTTCCTTTTATACGCTATCTACGCTCATACATGTATATGGTACCGTGTCTCCTTAGTTGAATGTTTGTAAATGTGTTTAAAACAAAACAAACTGTGGCGTTTTGGTTTGAAGAAGTTATATTACAATTTATTTAATACATTCTAAAGATAGCAAAATAATAGCTACAATACCATTACGACATTACTAAGAAATCCACTTGACAATCAGGCATACCAACCCTTCCGATACGACTAGAGCCATAATGCTCATTCTGAAATTCATCATACCCAGCTGTAAAGATTTTTCCACGGTATCATTTTAGAGTTTTGAGTTTATATTGTTTTTCCTACACTGTTTTTTACTCTATTATTTGAGTATATTAGTTAAAAAAAGTCTTATACTTTTGTTATAAAAAAGTACTTCTATAAACAGACGTTAAGGAAAATGTGGGAGCTCGTGCGATGTCCTGTTGTTCTTATTTGGTTATGGCTAGAAGTGCATGAAGGTGTACTGACGTCATAAAAAACCGCGTCCCTTTTGTTTATCATGGAATTACTTTAGTGAGAAACCCAAGCTATATTTCACAGCTCTTGTGATAATTTACGGCGGAACCGCAACATAAGTAAAATTTCTGACGACGCTAAAATAGAACGTGTTATTATATCTGACGAGGAGTCTGAAAATTTACAGGAAGATGTAAACAAACTTTTCTCGTGGTCTGAAAAATGGCAGATGCAATTTAATGTGGAAAATGTAAAGTACTTAGTCCAGGAAATGTAAATGGGAAACCAGACATCAAATGAACAACGTTGATGAAAAGAAATACGACTGTGAGAAAGGTTTAGGGGTAATGATAAGTAGGAATCTTAAACCACGATAGCAATGTGTATTTGCTCGAAACAAGGCTAACAAAGTACTTGGTTTCATACAAAGGAGTGTTAGTTACAAGACTAGCGATGTTATCTTAAAACTATATCTTGTGCTTGTGAGACCACACTTGGATTGTGCAGTTCAGTTCTGGTCACCGTACTACAGAAGGTAGGATCTGAAGTCTTGCAGTGAAGTAAGTCCAGAAGTTCACGGTATGATTGATGTCTCTTTTAAAACTTAAACGACTTGCTGGTTCTGGTTAGTTACTGTATGTACGACGTGATAGGATGAGCAATGACGTCAACAACATTATCGTGGGTCGGGGAGTGTTGTAAGACCTCGTTGGTGTCTTTGATGATGACTTGAGTGCCACTGTAGCAATGTACAGTAAGTACCTAAAGCCTATCGTGAAAAGATAATTGTTGGAATTTTAGATTATAATTAAGCCCTCGACTGTACTACTACATCTTGACCTAGATCATGGAGTTTGGCATAAAGTCTAATGATAAAAATAATACGGTTGTGAATTAGCACCGACCTCTACAGTTGAGGGAGTGAAGGGTGTCGAATGCAATGCCAGTCACTCTACACCCCCCACAACAAAAATGGTCTTCGTATTCAATGTTCATTATCCCCACTATGGGTCGTCAGGCTCAAACTTACTTTCGTGTTGTAAGTGGGAATCTAATGTCACGTACTTTTAATCTACATGTCTGCCCGCAGATGTATGGTACTAGATTCTACCTCTCACACCTGGCTGCCTCCCCTTAGGGACAGTATAATTAGCACAAGTTCACCAACACTGCTGAACCAGGTGCCATGAACCGGCCCAGAGTTTCTCGTAGTGTGATGTCTTCTTTGCAACCTAAGTATCATCTGTCGTGAGTACCAAGTGTTCGTGAAGTACAATATTGAAGATGACGTTTAGTTGTGTGAAGTAGAGTTAATTCCTGACACACAACTTACCGCCGAGTTCAGTGGCGTCGTGTACAAGTCGATGGTGTTGTCGGCCAGACTTACTTGACCGTAACTTTGACCGCAACCATTTTCTTATCTCGAGAAACTATGGTGACCGCGTTTATCTGGCAATACGTGATTCAATTCAGATTCAGTTCACTAACAGTTCGTATGGGGACCGAAAGGAATTTTAGACGTTTAGTTCAGACCTATAGTGTAGTGGTCAGCATGCTCGCCTCGCAAACGAGTGGACCCGAGTTCGACCCTGGGGCAGGGTGAAACTATGGGCAAGTTTCTTTACGTCATTTGCCTCTGTCTACCCAGCAGTAATTGGGAACCTGGACGTTAATCGATTTACGGATCGTATTCCAGGGTAATGGTTAGCCAGTGCAGTTGGCGAGTTGTCCGGTCTTCTCGGGCACTGGGTCATGCAACTCGTTAATTTAGGGTGTGGTTGTTGTGTTGGCGACAGCTTCTACACCCCGACAAACAAATTCACGCCTCGGTGGCCCGAGGGCCGGCCATCCTCGTTACACGAGGGGCAACCATTATTATTATTAGTTCAGTAAGCTACCGCCAGAGAGAGAGGTGTGGTGCAATTGGGGGACAAGTTTCAAAGAAAAGGCGGCTGAATTTTTCTGATGATATTTTCGTTAATAATGATGATTTTATAATAATAATGATGGTTATTGTTATTATTTTGGAGCAAATATCACTTTATCTATAATTCTTGACACAGCTTATTGTCTTAAACTAGTAAGATCATCAACTACACTCTGGAAATTGCCACTTGCGAAAGACTTCGAAGCTATTAACACAGACGTATGCATTGGGACCGCATGCGACCTTGTCACTCGACCAATATCTTGCTGCAGTTGGTCACATAACCAGAGTTTTTCCCTTCGTGGAAGTCTGTAGTACCGCAGCAGTAGATGGTCCAAAGGATCCCTGGACACTCTTTCCTTCCGGAGTGGCGCTTGAAGTACGTCTGCCAGCTCTGTGTTTTGGTATGGGTGTTATAGTATAGAAAACAGGAGTCACGTGACCTTATTTCCGCCTTGCAGAAGCTTACGGGGGCTCGGAGGACACAGTAGCATTTGGTGTACGGTAAGTTCTGTTACGGGCGTCGTAAACTGTTGGTGAACCACCCGTTTAGTCTTATGGTTGTCCGAAGGGACTAAGGGGCGGCCGTGAGTTGTTAGTGGATCTATCCTATAACTAACTATAGTCCTCGAGTAGGTTAAGTAAACAGACGTTATTACAGTGACTCATGACTTATTATCTACGTTCCTAATTTGTCTAAGAGACGACCCGGGTTATAATATAGTCAGCAGGGGTCAGCAATCCTCATATTTCCGGCCGCACGCAGCCAAAAAAATATAGTTGCGGCCGGCTTAACGGCATCCAAAATGTGTGAAAAGCGGCCGGTAAAGTTGATAAGATAAGATAAGGCTGTTCGAACACTTGATGCAGCAGACACCTATTATAATACTCTGTGTAAGACTGGAACAATTACAGTTGGAATTCATAGAATGTTATCTGAGATTCAGAGTAAGATTTTTCATTTGTTTCAAATCCTTTTGTTTTTAAGCTGACGAGGTCAGTCATTGTCAGTTATATACTGACGAGGGAAATCTTGCTAACATACTATAGTGTGTTTCAAGTGACTACAACCCGTGTGTTATACCTAGAGTCATAACCAAGTCTAGTTTGGTTTATCTTACATCTGATCAAGTGTCTATATAGTTTGTCTTATTATTTAAGCACCTAACTTGTCTCTAGACTAAGCCTGTCTTATTATATCTCGTAACTTAACTTTTCTGAATCATTTTTCATTATACATAAGCACTAATAATATTTCAGGCCTAGTTGGTCTTGTCTAGTCTCGTGTGTAATAAATTGGAAGATTCGTCTTATTATCTGGGTACACGACCAGGCTCAAGTCAACACTTGTTTTGTTTCTTAATCAAGTTATTAATGTTACTTCATGATGTCTTAGTTTTCATATGTTTATAATTTTTTCTTTTACGGGGAATAGTCCACCCGGGCACAGGTCATCGACCCATAACTAGGCCTGTGGGGCAAAAATATGTTAGCAAAAAGAAATTAAAAATAGGAGAAAAAAGACTTATGTTAAACTACACTACGAAGATGACGGAAAACCAGCCTTTTGAAGTGAGACAGATTGTAAGAGTGTGGAAACATAAGGCAGAGCATTCCACAGTTTGGCTGTGTGAGGAAAGAAGGATGTACTATAACGGGATATTTTAGTGTGACCGACATCCACACAGAAACTGTGGGCACCGCGGGCAAGACGTGTGTTACGAGCCCACGGCCTTGCCGGCGGTACACAGGATGCCAAATACTGATAAATGAACAATATGGAAAAGCGATGAATACTTATGACTAATTTATATGGTATTTATGTAGTTTTAACATATAATTAATTCCTGGATGACCTTTTACTGTTTATATGTTTAATTAATGCCTAGTTGACCTGTTACTATTTCTATACGTTACGTCTTCAACCAAAACATATCACCACAAGATTGACTGGTTATGCTCGTCTTGTTACAGGTTAAACCGGTGTTTTTGTTTGTTTTTGTTTTTAGGGTTTAGGGGGGGGGGAGGGGATAGAGGGTTTGTAGAGGGAGGGGGCGAGGGTTGTTTGGCGGGTCTGACAAAGCCTGTCTCTCGCTGGTCATTAAGTTTACTTGTAAAAAAAAAAATTAACCCAAGACCAAACGATAAAATATTTGACACCTCAGATAATTATTACCTGGGGTGACAAAATACTGTGTTACCTGGAGTTTAAAAATTCCCTAGGTAAACTTATTGATCAACGATAAAAAAAAAATAATAATAATAATTTTTATCTTCCCCTCAGCTAATATTTTGTTTATCTTACCCCCAGCTAACTACAGTGACTACAGTGCACCATCAGCTAACTACAGTGCACCATCTATGTCTTCCAAAGGATAGGCCATCTCACCTAAACACGACACCTGCGTCTAGTTCAATATGTTATACTCCAGTCCGAAGCCCACCGCCTGCGGCAAGAGGACTTGGTGGGAAATAGAAAATGGTTTGAGTCCTGAAGCTTCACCCACTAGGATAACACGGCGTGGGCGTATGTGTAATGACCACGGTGAGTTGTGTCCAGTCCATCCATCCATTATTCTCTCTCTCTCTCTCTCTCTCTCTCTCTCTCTCTCTCTCTCTGAAGGTAAAAGCTTGTAATATATATTTTAAAGAACAAATTTCTGATGCACGCACGCGCACGCACGCACGCACGCACGCACGCACGCACGCACGCACGCACGCACGCACACACACACACACACACGCGCGCAATTCTGATGCCCATTACTAATATCCTTGACTTGTGAATTTAACCTTTGATTTTCTTCCGTGAGTTTGACCGCTGGCATCATCTTAGCAGCGACAATTTCTTTTATCATGCTTCCTGTGTGATGAAGTAATGCCAAACTCAAGCTGTGTGTTCTTGTGAGTCACTTAGCATTATTACTTTTACTTTTATCCTCTTCGCCACTCATCGGGTCGCTAGCCGCCCGGGCGATCGGTCACGTCTCTGTCACGCACTGTTGGCAAATACTGGGCATGCACCGGCTCCTGAATGTACCTGAACCCGGTTCATTTTGGGTCGGAGGCTGCTTCATTTGGTTTCGATTCTACGTTTTGGGTCGATTCTACTTCATATGGGGTCGTTGCTGCTTCATTTGGGGTCGTTGCTGCTTCATTTGGGGTCGTTGCTGCTTCATTTGGAGTCGTTGCTGCTTCATTTGGAGTCGTTGCTGCTTCATTTTAGGTCGATGCTGCTTCATTTGAGGTCGATGCTGCTTCATTTGAGGTCGATGCGGCTTCATTTTGGACAGGAGCGAGCATTTGACCCCGACTGTACTGTGTATTATCTTTTTGCATCAGTGACCAATGTTCCCTTGACAATAACTATCAAGATGAATCGATAAACGCTGGCCTGCCAATAGCTACACATAATATTACAAGCTAGGGGGTGTTAGTTTTCGTATGACATAACCCTGACAACACCGAGGTGAAAAGGCAACTAGAATTCAATGATACACAGAGAATCACCCCTGGAAAAATATACCAACTCATACATTCAAATGTTTACCAGTTAAAATTGTCTTGACTTTTTCCCACTCTCTTTTCTTAGATTTTTTGTCTTTGTTTTTTTATTTTTTTTTGTCACAGCCTTATCTTAACATTTAAATGTATTTGTTTCCATATTGTAACATTGAAGTTAAGCAAATGTTACTTTTGTTTTTTGTTTTAGGTTTAACGGTTTACCTTGTTTAATTACCTTTGTCACTGCTGCATTACAGGAGCACAGCAGGAAGACGGTTACCAGCGGGTAATCTCCAACTTCCTGGAGACTCTGCACCTGCCTGATGTAGAAGCTCCCTACGAACCAGTTATCGAATCTATTAATCCGGATGATGACGTCAGGCCCTTGAATATATCACATTCTCTGCCAACACCATGCGGGAAGGTCACTCCGTTTATTGTGGCACCGTTACCGGTTGTGCAGATCAACACAATGGCATCAGACCAAATTACTGGTTAGTGGAAACTTAAGAAAAATATATTTGTCGCCTGAATATGGGAGCTCATGTAAAGTGCTCATTTCATGGATATATGACAAAAATAAGCTGATAGCCAATTTATTGACGAATCAAATATATATCGATGAAGACAGATAATTATATATTTAGCTAATGAAATGTTAGAAAAACGTTGGGAAAACCTTTAAAAGTTTTCTATAGGGGTAGTTAAACCTATATATACTTCATCGATAAAAAGGTGTGCATTATGTTTGGTGTCACTTAGGTGTGGGGCTCTGGCCGATCACCCTCCACTTCTCCCACATCATCATTAATGTAACATCAAGGTAACCCTGTTGTCTTGCAGGTAGTCTTAGCCAAGAAGTTGCTGGTCCACAGCCGCAGCAACCTCCTGCCAAACGTCGACCAGGCAGACCCCCCAAACCTAGTAAGTTTGTACCGTAATAATTCTGCCAATGCTTTTATTGTATCTAATTGCTGCCAGATTCAAGAGTACAGGTATTAGAGTTTAGATAATGCGGGTACAGTATACTGTTCTCATCAGTTCACAAGACTTTTGATGAGTAGGGAGAACAGATATTCTTATGTGAACGGAATAATGGTTACAAAATTGTACGTCACTTGTACTGTATATCGTCTTTGTTTACAGCGCAATTCTGGCGGATTACAATGCAAAACTAAATCTCTGATGGGAAAGACAGTTCATTGCACTAGCGAAATATGTGGCAGTACCATGATGGCCTTTGAAACATACATAGTAGCTTTAGAAAATATAGCAACACCTGCGCTGTGTTTGATCCATTCTTTGTACAGATCCGTGTGAGCAACACTTTACTGAACAGTCTCAACAAGTGTTTATAAAGTGATACTCATATGTTATGTTTCCTTCTGTAGAACAGCAGCTTCAACCCAAGAAGATACCCAAGATATGGGAGTTCGTCCACGACATGCTGCAGGACCCAGCCACCTGCCCCTCAGTTGTCCGCTGGGAGGATGAGAAGAACGGCATCTTCCGTTTCATAGACCCCAAGAAGGCCGCCAGTCTCTGGGGTGACCTAAAGGAAAACCCAAAGATGAGTTACGAGAAGATGAGTCGGGCTCTAAGGTGGGTCTTCAAGTCTACTGAAACAATTTGACTGTTGTCGGGATGAGGGGTATTGAAGAACCTTATATGAAATACTGATATATGATTTTTTTTTCTAATTTCTGGGATGGACATTGGTACCTGGAGTATGTACTGTACAAGAAAGGACTTAAATGATTTATTTTAATGAAATTTGGAAAATATTTAGTTATTTATTACTGTTGAGAAACTAAGTAAAAAAAAAAGGCAGTTGGAGTTCTCGAAGATCGGTTTCAAGAATTCAAAAGCAATTCGGTTATAGTTTTTCTGCGTAACGGAATTAGTTTACTTTATTAAATATATCTAATATCTGTCACACAGAAACCATTTTGAGGTAACCTGTAGGAGTTCTGATAATTCCATATTTTATATTTTTTCGCTCTTTTTTCTGATATATACTTATTTGTCGTAACACTCTATATACTGTGTGATATTGTATACAACTTAACAAATAAACAATCGCTTACTAATAATTTTAATCTTTTTCCAGATACCACTACACGAGTGAAGCTTTAGATGTTGTTAGAAATAGACGATTAGTTTACAAGTTTGGGAAAAAGGCACACAAGAACAACAAGAAGCTGACACCGTTACTCTGAGATGGTTCTTCATTATGTTAGTTTTTAGTGCACTGTGCATTGGTACATTTAGTGCATTGGTTAAGATGATTTCTAATGTACAAACACTAACGTTGTACAGTGTCATAATATTCGTAAATAGTGAAGCGACACAAAATATCGAAAATACACATTAAACCAGCCGGGTATCAAGTTATCTATAGCCGTAATTTGCACTGCCATGTGTAAGCGTCAGACAAGGCTGCTGCCTGTCACCTTTTCATTGTATGTATCTTTATTTGTATGGATGTAATTACTGCACGTGTACTGTATATAATTTTTTTATGCTATCGTTGCCAAGTTAATTACCGTTGACCTTCTAGGACACAAAAGTATGGTAATAATCTTTATGGGCCAAAAAGGAAAAAAATCGGTCACAGTAGAGCAGACTGCTAACACCAGAAGGAATTGTTCGATTTCCTTCATTTTCCCTACATATTTTGTTTGGATGATAGTAAGTAAATAAAACGATACGATAACTTTTGGTAAAGTATTTAATTTTGTATTTGTTCTATCTACTATCATAAATACACCTGTAGTGGGCAGGGTATGAAGGATGAGGGAAATTGCTGGTAAAATCCGGCGAAAAACTGATCATACGACACTAAAATAATGTCTCTGCATGCTTTGTAAGCAAAGAAATTAATTATTTAACAAATACTCAGCCGAAAAATCTACCACGTCGGCACGTGTTGTCGACCACTCTTTGTTTCAGTGCAACAACCGAACCGCTCGGTCTGAGCATTCTCTCACATCCACATAAAACGAAAAATTACACAATGCCATTTCAAGAAAATTACTTTCATTAATACCGAATTTCAACGAAAATTCTTTGTTTAATATGCTCTAGAAAGTTAGGTAGGTTTCTTTGGTTAGGTCAGGTTCGATTATTTTTTATTATTATTGTCGTATCGTTTCTATTACTATCATCCAAAGAACACGTGTTGAGAAAATGAACGACATCGAGCAGCTCCTTCTGGTGTTTGCCGTCTGCTCCACATTTACCAAATTTTCCAATTGTCTCACTCGTTCTGTACTGGATGTCAAGAGAATGTCTTTCCTAACAGTCGTCAACTGAGCACTGACCCAGGGCAGTGTGAAGGAGTGAGATGAGGGGGCGGACAATCAACAATGCATCATAGTACAATGCTCTGATTTATATACTTTTGTTAATGGAAATTTTCTTTTTGTATATCTGTAATAAGTTCGTTCATGTATTTATTAAATTAAAACTAAAAACACAGATTATTCTCTGTAGGCAAAATATACCTTGATGTCTGTGTGTATGTTGCGTTTTATTTATTTATTTATTTTTTTTTTTGGAGGGGGAGGGCAAAATAACTTACAAACAGGCTAACCAAAGTTAAAAAACAAAAACAAAACTAAACTGTGTATCAATCTACACGAGCCATAGTAACCAAATCTAACCTCTCACTTAATCTAACCATGAGGTTAGGTTAGTTTAGGTTGTCTGCTTGTAAGGTATTTGCAAAAAAAAAAAGTAACATACATACTGTACAGGGTGTCCACACTGAAAAGGAACAACTTTGAATTCTAATAATGTTTGTATTGAATAATGAAAACAGAGGACTATTCACACTGATCATAGTCTATATGTTTGAGTTTCATTTGGTATATGGGTATATATCATTTGGGTACTTTAGGGTAGACATTCAATTTGTGTGTCATTCGTAGCACAGACTGAGTCACAACGATATTCTTTCCCTCAACCCATTTTTAACACCTCGAGGGTTACGGAGGCCACCGCCGCTGTGATGCGCTCTTCTAGATGAACAATGTCTTGCACTTTTGTGTAGTTCACTTTGGACTTCACATACCCTCAAAGAAAAAAATCGTGCAGGGGTAAGGTCAAGTGATCTCTGTGGCCAGGAAACGGGTCCGTCTCTACCCAGCCAGGGCTCTCACACCCAGGAATCATGGAAGGAACAGACGTCACGGGACCAGTGGGGAGGAGTCCCATCCTGCTGGAATATATGGTTCGGGTGGCAAGACTCTACCCGTGGTGCCAAAAACAACTGAAAAAAGTCGAAGTACACATGGCCTGTCACAGATTTTTCCGCAAAGAAAAATTGGCCGACAATTCTCTCACGCATAAGAACGCACCAAACATTAACTTTTGGACTGTCTTTGTCGACCTCATGGGTGACATGGATTCTCCGCTCCCCAGATACGGCAGTTGTGACTATCAACGTGCCCACATGTGTGAAATGTTGCTACCAAACATGGAGGTACTACCGCTTGGGAAGATATTGTAAGTATAATGTGTTGTCTAGTGGTAGACCCTGCTGCCATATGGCATCACAAAAATTGTGACCAAATCTCAGGTTGCTGATCTGACTTCTGCCTCCTGCCTCATTTACACACAATTGCAGGGTCTCAATTGTTTCTCTTACTATTCACAACACAACATACATATATTGTTTCTCACTTTTGATATTTTTTTTCATTTTTGCATTTCTTTATTGTTGTTTATTATTATCATTGTTATTATTACATTTTCGCCCCGCAGGCCCCGATGTGGGTCAGTGACCTGTGCCCGGGTGAGCCAATTCCCGTAAAAAAAAATCAGGTACTCGCTTTTTTTTTCTTTCTTTTTTTTTAAGGAAATAGCCCATCCGGGCACAGATCATCGACCCACAATGAAGCCTGGGGGGAGGGGGGGGGGAATAAGAGCAAAAAGAAATTAACACTAGAAAAGAAAAAGACTACATTCATCTACACGAATATGCCGGAAAACCAGCTTTTTGAAGTGAGACATCATATGAGTATGGAAACACAGAAGAATGCAGAGCATTCCACAGTTTGGCTGTGTGAGGAAAGAAGGATGTACTATAACGGGTTATTCTAGTGTGACCGACATCCATAGAAAAATGGTGGGCACCGCGGGCAAGACGTGCGTTACGAGCCCACGGCCTTGCTGGCGGTACACAGGATGCCAAATCCACCGAACATTGCCCGTTAAAGTACCTGTAAAGAGAGAGAGAGTGAAGCAACATTGCGGCGAAGAGAAAGGGAAGAAAGATTGTCGACTAAAGGAGGAGAGTTAACAAGACGAAATGCCTTTGATTCCACCCTATCTAACAGTTGGACCGAAGAAAAGCCATCCCAGATATGAGAGCAGTACTCCAAGTAAGGACGAACGAATCCCTTCTAAACTTGAAGCAACTGCTCAGGAGTGAAGTAGCTACTGCATCTGTGCAGCATTCCCATCTTTTGGGAGGAAGCCTTGGCAATGTTGTTGTCCAGACAGCGGAGCACGTGCATTGCTAATTTCTCCTTTCGATATGATCATCCACTCTGAGCTGCTGAACCAGTTAAAGCTTATATGCCTAAAACTGCAGCTGTGTGCACAGTTGAACGTGGAATTTGCAATTCGGTAATAGCACGACAGATGGACTTCCATGGGCTTCTGTGGAAGGAAGCATGTATATGTTCCTCCACCAGGCTGCCTTAGAACACTGCCAGTCTTCTCAAATTGCTTCATCCATGCATAAAGGTCTCTTTAGGTCGGTGGTTCCTTGCCAAACGTTGTATGGAATTTTCGTTGCACCAGGACAGGTGACTTTAATTCTGCCATCCATAACACACATTTCGTCTTTTCTTGTGGGTCATCATAATTCAATCTGAAACACACACAAAAAACTAAGCACAGAAACTTAGATACAGTATATGGTATAATAAGTGTGCAAGTTTCAGTATCCTCACATATGCTAGTTTACTGTATTGGTGTTTCAGATTGTGATTCTAAAACACCTTCACCTTTCTGTTAGTCAGCATGTTATAAACAAGATAATCATTAAAAAAACCCGACCTGACCAGAGATCGTAAACGGACATACTTATAGACCTTACATAAAGAATCACACGAAACCAAACAGCATAATCAGTTTTGAGTTGTGTTCAATCAGTAAAAGATACCTTAAAAAACATAAAAACTTTCCCTACTAAAAATTGGCTATAACCTCCCTGCAATATTAATACACTCGTGTAACATGAATTATACTCCATAAACTACAAGTCACTATTCAATGCCATTTGGTTCATGTAATTAGAGAAAACGATTTATATATGACTGCATATTGCCGAGTACAGTCACAAGCCCTAATTTCTAGCCCACCCTGGCCAGAGAGAGAGTTGAATCCAGCGGGGTTTCTGATCGACGGGTCACCGTGGCAACGCACAAACGAACACACAACCCAGCTTATTACTTATATTAATATAATGTCTTATAGACAGCTAATATAAATTAGATATTAAACAATTAATGAATGCATGGTCTCTATGGTATTTGAAAATAGTGAAAATCTTTTAGATACTGTGGAAGACTCTGGGAGAGCCGAACCAGCTTCAGTTGGTGAAACAAACGCAACTCACCCCTGCTATCACTTCCTCCCATCCCATAATCTATCTAGGAATGTTAATAAAAATGTACGGAAGGCAAAGAGGGACTACGAAATCACGATAGCAAGGGAATCCAAGGTGAATCCCAAGGTATTTTTCCAGGTATATAGGACAAAGGTCAAAGGCAAATTGGGGCCTTTAAATTCGGAGAGGGGGGAAGTGATCGATGATAGTGAGGAAATAAGCAAAGCATTAAATAGCCGCCAGCTCCAAGTAAGGACACTCAACTGAGTAGTACCCCTTGAGATGCTTATACACCTCAATTAGATCACCCCTTGCCCGTCTGTAGTAAAGCTAGGCAAGTTCAGGCACTCCAATCTCTCAGGGTAACTGAGGTACCGAAGTGCAGGCACCAGTCTGGTGGCCCTCCTTTGGACATTTTCAACCAACTGACAATCCCTAGCATATCTCGGGGACCAGACGGGGTGACAGTACTCCAGATGGGGAAGCACTTCACTCTTGAAGATCGTTATGAGGGATGGACCATCTCGATATCTGAATGACCTTCTTATAAGACCCAATAATTTATTTGCCTGATTTACCTTCTTCTCGCAATGGCCCGAGAACTTCAGCTCATTGTCAACATATACACCTAGGTCCTTCTCACATTCAGTCTCAAATAGTGCAGTTTCTTCATCCCATTGGGACATATGATACGCCTCCTTACCGTTGGTACGCCCCAGGTGCATCCTCTTACGCTTCGTGACATTGAATCTCAGCAGCCATTTCTTCGACCATTCTTGGAGCCCACAGAGGTCCTTCTGCAACTCTTCACAGTCCGCTTGATTCTTGATTTCCCAAAATAAATTGGCGTCATCGGCAATCATTTGTATGGAGGAGTGTACAACGTCAGGCATGTCATTTATGAAACAAACAAACAACAAACAGCTCCCTTCAACATCACCTGCTGGCTCTCCCTCAGGTCACACGTTTGTCAGAGGGATCCAGGGGTGAGTTATTTACGGTGGGAAGTATATCCATTTTATGTTTGTGTCCGAGAGTGAGTGTCTAGTAACTTCGATATATTGATCTGTTAATGTGTCCATGCCATTCAGTTAATTAATAAATAGTTATATTTAAAGTGGTGTTTAGAGAAGATTCCCCCTACGAATATATTAACGGTAAATAACTAACCGGCCACACTACCAAACTTCCTCACTTTATATTCCTACAACTATAAATATTCTACCTATATCTTCTATACGAGTTTTTACCTGTGTTACATCATCCATCAGCAGTAACGTTGGCCGATGTTCACATTAATATCCTTCCAATCTTTTTTTTTATGAATATTCGTTCGAATCACACTGCAACGTTGCCAGTCCCTCTTCGTGTGTTGGTGGGAGGGTCGGCGTAGTGACCTGTCGTCCAGGAAGGGTACAACAAACTATGCACCCTTTGTGGGGTACGTGATATTGGTTCACACTCAGGATGGGATGGAGAAAGGAAACTCACAATGTGCTCTCTGTATACATGTATTGGATGTACAATGCAGCTTGGTGCTGGGAAGGCAGCATGGTTACAAGCGTTGAGTAGAGAGAGCTGGTTGGTGAGGGTGCTCAGAGGAGGGGCAGCTTGTGGGTCGCCATGGGCGTTGGCGGGAGCGGGAGCCGCCAGGCAGGAGGAGAGGAGGAGGTGTTGCTTGCTGGTGGCTGTAGGTAGAAAGAGAGGTAGGTCACCACGAGGTGAGGTCTTATATAGCGGAGGTAGGCGTGGCTTAATAGTTGACCTCCGTCATGTAAGGCGGTGCTGGTTGCTGACCTAGACCACGAGGCATACACTGGGGAATTCGCAGGGTCAGCTAGGCAGCGACAAACAGCGTTTGTCGGGGAGGAATCCACTACACTTTCACCGCCAATGTTCTGTGAACTTCTGAACAGAATTGTACCGTGTTGAAAATGTTCTGGTCATGCGCAGTTCGATAAAAAACTAACCTAACCTATCCTAACTTAATCTCTTATTTGAAGGGGTGATGTCAGCACACCTCAAGCTTTCAACGATATTCTGATCAAACGAAGCATGCCCAGACCATTTTCAGCGCGGTACAAAATCCTCACGCCACATGGCGTGACATAGCTGCGAGTCATTCTTTTACCTATTGCACAAACGTAATTGGCGAGTATTCACTTCTTTGCATGTATTATATCACTTAATGTTGGTATAATGTGAGTCGCGTGACAATAGTGCTAAGCATGCATCTGACGTCAGCTCATTCAGTATGTCATTGTCAGTAATAATAATAATAAAAGTCTGATTTTTCTGACGTCTTTCTCAAAGTAAGTACACAGTTATTTACCATAAAATTAACGAAACTAATATACACGTTCATTGGATGAAGCAGCCCAAAAGTAGAAAGTAACGCGCCAAAAAATTAACATTATGTTTCTTTATATTGTAGTGGATTCTTCCCCTACAAACGCTGCCTAGCCGACCCCACGATTTCACCAGCCTGCCCTCGTGGTCTAGGTCAGCAACCAGCGCCACCTTACACGACTGAGGTCAACTATTAAGCCACGCCTACCCCCGCTATATAAGACCTCACCTCGTGGTGACCTACCTCTCTTTCTACATACAGCCACCAGCAAGCAACACCTCCTCCTCTGCTCCTGCCTGGCGGCTCCCGCTCCCGCCAGCGCCCATGGCGACCCACAAGCTGCCCCTCCTCTGAGCACCCTCACCAACCAGCTCTCTCTACTCAACGCTTGTAACCATGCTGCCTTCCCAGCACCAAGCTGCATTGTACATCCAATATAATATGTATACAGAGAGCACATTGTGAGTTTCTTTTCTCCATCCCATCCCGAGTGTGAACCAATATCTCGTACCCCACAATATCATATTTTTGTTTTCATTACATAGGTGTTAAAAATCATTAATATATTTTAATGTACAATTTCAGACGATTTCAATGGTACCAAAGTACTTGCCGGATAAGCTACGAATACACGAGATAAAAAGATGTTTAAGATTACTTGTCATAATGCGCATTAGGACTGTCGCACTCGGATAGCAGGCTTGCCGCACTTGGATTAGTGCGAGTATTAGAATCCCAGACAAGACTAATAAAGAACAATGGAGGGATGAGCCGGCACAATGGCCTTCCGTTGGCATGGCCGCCTCTTTTATTTATTTGTTATTTCATATTTATCATTTCACCATTTTCAGTTTACTAGTCCTAACGGCGGTTGGTCCATTCTTTGTTACTTTATGAACTTTGCTTATCTGGTGTTATTTTTGGTGGCCATTAGATAATTCAGGTAAATCCATATATGACTAAGATAATAAGAACCACTGGTTATTTCTTCCCATTCATTATAAAAGTTTATGTTCATCCTAGATTAGATAAGTAATTTCTTATATAGTCAGAACACAATAAAAATGGAGCAGAACGCAAGCCTTATATAACAGTCTATATTAATAATTATTTAAGATCATTATTGTTGAGAAATATTTATAAAAACAGATTATTCAGCTCAAGTATATTTATTAGAATATTAAATCCAAAAAGAGTTAAAATTTCTATTCAGTCTCCCTGTTAGAAACAAACATGGATGACGCTACACAAGTAACCAAAATGAAGGTAAGGCTTAAATGGTCCATAATACATGTTAGATGATGATGTTTCTCGATTTTTATAAGTGTAATTGTAATTCTAAAGTCAGAGATATTTGGATAATCACTGCAATAGCCAGCAGTACTTGTTAACTAAAGAAAATTGATAGTAATTACTAGCAGCTTGAAGCCGCAACAATTTGCCGCTTTCAGTACGTTATGGCTCACTGCCAAGCTTAGAAAGGTTTCACACTTGCTCACCTTGTGGCTTAGGAATCTTAGTATTTGATTAATATAGAGTGTACCTAGGAAAATATCATAAGGCAGGCGGCAAGGGTAGAGTTATCAGACGAGGAATTTGAATCCCAACCACCGGGCCATTAAGCTGGACAAGAAGTATACACAAAAGGTAAAGCTTAAGTTTATAATCACTTCTTTATGATTGGTTCACTTTTGTTAGTACATCGTGGACACCAATACAGTAGTAGTGTTGTGGGACTTTGGTTATGGACACTTTGCTTCCTGATGTAAATGTTAAGAAGGGATGACTCTTGTTATTTATTTATATAACCTAACCTAACCCTCTGGCTGATGGAATTTTCCCTATGCTGAATAAAATCATCTGGTGGTAGTCAATAAAATTAAAGTGCGGGAATTGCAGCGAGTGGGCTAAAAGTACGTAGTGGATGTTGGTACGACAGCCGTATTGATGGATGGACTGTGTTGTTAATCGTATGGTGAGGTGAGGTTAGGTTAGGTAGAAAGAAGGCCATCTTAGTAATTATCATCGTATAATCTGCCCATAACACATTCACATTCTGCTGCCGTATCGATAGACAGGAACGTTTCGTAAATGGCTGCCGTACCTATATACCGTGCATTAAATCTATTTGTTGTTACTTGATCTATTGTTGTAACTTTGAACTTACTTCAGAAGAAACAAGGAGACTGAGACCTTCATTCCTTGTGGTATTTTAATGAATTGACTTTTTTTTTACTTTTATTATTCCATTTTATTTCTTATGAGGACATTTAGTGCTGTTGTCCTCATCGCCTCCACGTTTAGGGTTAATTGCTTATACGCTTGGAGGCAAAGAAGAGATCCTAAATCCTAAGCAATCCTCCCAGTGAACTTTCCATGTGAATACTATTAAACCTAACCTAACCTAACCTAAAATAATGCACTTCCATCTTAGGAGAAGTATTTTAATTAACACGTATGTCTCGGAGGTTAATGCTTCCGTTCCATACACTTGAAAAATGAAAGATTACTTTTGAGCATTTGTGAAAAGATGATTTTAAATAGTTTTATACTAGTAAATTAATAAAAATCAGCAAATAACGAAGTTTTATGGCAATTTTGTCTGGGACAGTGTTTCATACCTGGTGTATCCTCATGCCAGCAACCACCTACCACCAATGATTTATTGTAATAAGACAAACGAACAAACCCTCCTAATTAACCTATCTATCCCTGAATTAATTTGCTTTATTTTAGGTTATTTAGGTACTAAACATATGCTTTTGGCCTTCAAATTTAAACTACAACTTAAAAAAATATAACACTTCCGTTATTTTTAATCATGTGGCCGGTTATTTTTCTGATATATGGCTGGATAGCAAAATCTCATATCTGGTTCACCCCAAACCAACTTTAGGAAATATCTCCATAGAAGATAAAAGCATTATTTTGTGAAATGGAAAAAGAACATTGAATATGGTAAGTCTTTAATGTTTCATTTCCTTAAGAAGAATTAGCTGTTTTTAAAGCAGTACTGCTCTCATATCTGGGGTTGCTCTTCTGTCCAACTGTTAGGTAGGGTGGAATCAAAGGCATTTCGTCTTATTAGCTCTCCTCCTTTAGTTTACAATCTTTCTTCCCTTTCTCTTCGCAGCAATGTTGCTTCACTCTCACTCTTTTACAGGTACTTTAACGGGCAATGTTCGGTGGATTTGGCATCCTGTGTACCGCCGGCAAGGCCGTGGGCTCGTAACACACATCTTGCCCGCGATGACCACCATTTCTCTGTGGATGGGTCACACTAGAATAACCCGTTATAGTACCTCCTTCTTTCCTCACACAGCCAAACTGTGGAAAGCTCTGCCTTCTTCTGTGTTTCCACACTCATACAATCTGTCTCACTTATAAAAAGCTGGTTTTCCAGCATCTTCGCGTGTAGATTAATATAACCTTTTCCTTTTCTATTTTTAATTTCTTATTTTTTGCCCCCTAGGCCCCGATGTGGGTCGATGATCTGCGCCCGGGTGGGCTATTCCCCATAAAAAAACAAAAAAACAACAGATTGTGTAAATTTTTTTATGCAACCATTCTAGCCTGCAGCCCGCATAATATAGACTCTGGAGAAGTGTTGTCATCAACATAACTTTTTCATTGTCTAATTTTGGTTACTTTGTATTCTGCAGTACTACATAAAGCCTGTGCTTCCTTCTGAAAAAAATCAAAGCGTGAGTTGGGTACGAGTTATCTCGAGAGTTGGGTACAAGTTATCTTGGCTACGAGTTGGCATGAGTACGAGTTTTTTTTAGTACAATTTATCTTGGGTATGAGTTGTCTTGGGTACGAGATGACCTTAACCTGCTTCATATGACACCTGTGTTTGAACAACTGCGGTCTTGGGGAAAAACCGTGCGTTAAATTTTTTACTGTAGTACTGTACTTTATTTTATTCTTAAGTGGATGGCTTTGTATTGTACCTATGGTACTGGGCATAAGGGAGTTTACTTCTTCAGTAAATTTTTTAGATTGAATTTCGGTTTACTTTAAGCCATAATGGTGTTTAAAAAAAATTTTACTTGCCTCCGAAGGTGGCTGACCTGAAGAAGGAACTTAAGTCACGGGGGCTATCAGTAACTGGAAACAAGAATGAACTTGTGGAAAGACTACAGGAGGCACTAGAAGGTGGTGAGTATATTTTTAAAGTACTGTACATTATTGAACTTTATATCATGGTAAAATGATGGAAACATTTTTATAAATACAGTGTGTATTTAATTACCACAGGTATAGGTAAGTTACTAGCTACTGCTTAGCTCTTAATTCATGGCTATTCATTCCCCATTAGATCTTCCATAGTTTTTTTTTTCAATTTATGTAAGTACTGTGTGAAGTAAACGTGCAAATAGATTATATAACTTAGTCTTTTCCATAAAAGTGGATGGTGTGGGGTGTGGTGGAGTACACACTGACACTATCAATGATTCTATTTTGTTAAATTTTCATATTGAGTTTAAGTGTTGTACAGTCAACATCTGCTGAACACAAGATAAGTTCCTGAAAGCCTGTACGTTAAACAAACATAAATTTCCCATAAAAGCCCACGTTATAAATTTATGTAGCTATTGTCTGAAAATTTTTTCTCTACCTGGAGTTGTCTCTGATAATAGAAGAATGGCGAGATATGAGAAAATTAATTTATAACAGTAAATAACTACAGTACAGTAAACAAAAGGCATATTATGTACTCACCACTCGGCTGTTCCGTCTCAAATTGTGGACGGTACCTCCAAGTCACCCTAATTTCATCTGGCTTTCTTGATTAGGTTCCTACCTTCTTTAAATATTCTATGTTTTGTACTCTAGGTAACCAAACCCAGAATGTATCGTTAACAATTAATGAATATGGACACATGCACTGAGGCACTAAATGTTTCTTTCTTTATTTATTTTTTTTTTTTTTGTGTATGTATATTTTTTATGACTGTGCAGTGACATCTATTTCAAGGACTGGGTCTATGGTTGGTTTTTATACATAGCTAATTGAATAAAGTGTTTTATGCTCAGATGCTTTGTATACTGTACCCCTAAAATATTTGCGGTGTTAGTTATTTTCTGCCAGTGTGTGAATATCAGTAGATAAAGGGAAAGAATATGTGTGTGATCTTAAGATGTTGTGGGAAAAACTTGAAAGAGTAAAAAAAAATATTGTTCATTGGCTGTCACTGAAACTTCTTTAAATCTGCTCTCACACCTCAGTTTTATCTGACAAAGAGCAGAGCAGGTATGGCCTTTTCAAGTTCCATTACCATCACTTATGTATATTTTTATATTGATATTGATTTTTAAATTAAAGTATTATTATTAATGTCACAGTCTTTATTATTAAATTCTTTCCTTCAGGTGAAAATGTTCCGATTAGTAACGTTGAAGGTGATGACGAGGACTTTGACGAAGAGGAGATCCTAGGTGGAGACGACATGGATTCAACAGAGTTGGTTAAGTTGACTCCACAAGAGGAGGAGGCTGCCTTAGGAGGCGCCATAAGGGTTCGAGATGTGTGTGTTTATTTCATGAATATAATGTAAAGAAAATTGATAGAAGTAAATACCGTATATACTCGTCTATAATTCTACCTCGTTTATAGGTCGACCCTGATTTTTTGACCAAGAAATCATTAATTTATGATATGCCTCGTTTATAGGTCGACCCAAGTTTTTGAAGGTAATGGAACAGCAAAATCTTCACTAAAAACACTGCTTCCTATAAACTGAGGGTCGCCGTGCCTGAAACACCGAGCGCCGAAGGCAAATTGGTTACCATTATTACGACACTTTACACTGAAACGCGGGTAGTTTCAGCAAAAGTATTGTATATTTCCATTCAAGTATTTATTCAAGTCAATTAGGAGTGAATATTATTGTAAGACAACAGTTTTTTCAACTGAAAACCATTCGAAAAGCGATTACGGTAACATCTTTTGAACAACGAAAGAAAGCGAAAGTCGATTGTTTTCGTCATGGTTTTATCCCACTTTCCACTGTAATATGTATGTCATTTCAGGAAAAAAATTTACATTTCCGTGAATGCATTATATCAAGCACAGTATGAATTGAATATCATTCTAATGATAACAGTATTTTAACCGAAAACTATTAAAAAAACGAATAATATCTCATGAACATCGGAAGGTTAGGTAAAGTCTTTTGTTTTCGTCATGTATTTTATCCTATTTTACATTGAAATACATCACGTTTCAGCAAAACTACTATTAATATCTGAGAATATATTCATTCAGGCACAGTTAAGGTAAAATATACGTGTGATGTAACGGTTTCTTAACTGAAAACGATTCGAAAAACAAGTGTACCGTCTAGCTGATACTCAACAGCTGGTGGTGTGTCGTGCATCGTTGTAAACAATTCGAGGTTGAGGTGGATTACCGGGTATTATATTAAGTGTGAAATATCGAAAAGGTTTTTATTACCGGTATTTTTTGTAGATCAATGAGAACTGTGATAACGTATATGATATGATAAGTTACCCTGTGCTAAGAACTTCAACATAGACTACTGAAAGCACGTTGTAAGGTAATTTAGCCTTTTGTAAGTTGGTGAGCTTCATCTGCTGAAGGCACTGCACAGCTTTTCATTACTAATTGGTACATATTTTACATTTCTATTGTTTACTGGCAGTAAATGGTAAGTATTTTTCATGTCTGAAGCTAAAAGTTGCTCCTCGCCCTACCCATCATGCACGGATTCAACCTAACAAAACTATTACCCATGTAGAGGTCGACCCCCAATTTTTTGCCTAAAAATTTGGTCTTAAAAACTTGAACTACACACGAGTATATACGGTAAATTGTTTTTGAGGTTAAAACCAACATTAACGTACATTCTTTTTATACACTTGCATCTGTAAGGTCATGACTTTTTATTTTTCATTCCCTGCTTTCTGTAAACTTTATGTTTACTGTGCAACTATTTTATAGAAAGTCTCATACCATTGTGGTATATGCATTTATTTAGTAACAGTATTGCATACACAGAGAGCTGTCAACAGAGAAAATTCTATATAATGAAATTCAGTTAAGTTCAGTTGAAGAAAATTCAGTCATGTATAGAAGAATTCATGTGTGAATTTGGTAGGTTATGTATTTAGCAAAGTATCACATATTTATTTTAGTCACCCAGTGAAATGGTGTACTCCATCAGTGACCAAGTAGTGTACAACAGCTGACAGTTAATTTTAATTGAATATACTGTGCAGTAGTTCATATCAGTCTGATAAGGTCATTATTAGTCGGTTAGATAAGGTATTGCAGCTTATCTTTAAAAAAATTGTAGCAGTAGCCTAAACCAAGGTGGTTTTGCTTTCCCTGTTTGGGTCATGAAGGTATTAAAGCACACTCCTCCTATAAGGCCAATTTATGGCAATAAATCAAGGAAAAAATGTCTTAGATTACTTTTACTAAACCTTGAGTGACGTATATTAATTTGCTGATTAAAAATTGCAATTATAAACTATATCTGCAATCTTTATGCTGCAAAGTTTTTTGGATAGATAAAGTTTCTTGACATCAGGATATACTGTACTGTACATACTATATATCGTATTATGTAACTCTTTCTGGTTTGGTTTGAAGGTGGTCTCATGTCCTGAAGCAGATAGCTAGGCTCTTTATTCACTTCAACAAAGAACTCCAACCAATCATATTCTAGTCAGATTGTATTGGCTTCCTAAGACAGGTAGGACTGAATTCAAACTTTCTTTGTCAACCTTTAAAGTATTAAGTCTTGAAACAAAACTATTTTGAATTTTTTTTTTTTTTAATTTCTGATTGTTGAGTCAAATACGGTTCTTTTGTAATGGCAATAATCCATATCACCTCAAACCATATGTGGACATTCATTTATGGCACTATGTTTTTTTTTACATGGTGCCTCAATTATGCAATCAATATCCTGTCTCCTTGAAACAGGTGGATTTGATGCGGACTTATATAAAACTTCTAAGGGATTTCCCATTAGTGAGGGCTTTGTATCCTGTTGTAAGGTTTATGAAATAACTGTTGTCGGTAAACTTACGATCCAATATGTTTTTCTCGGTGCTCTTTTGCATATTTTTGCTTGTTGAGAACTTGGTCTTGAAGAAATAAAATATCAACTTTTACTAGAAATGATGGTCTAATTTAATGTCTTGGGATAGTCCAAATCATTAGCATAAGAATTGCAGTCATTTAGGGGTATCCTTTGTCCATGAGGTAAACTCAAAATTCCTTGATTTCTCTATTTAAAAATATATGAATATTGTTTTATATTAAAGAAATCCATTGTTGAACTTGAAAAAATTATCGTTCTCTATTGTAAATTAAAATGAGCTGGTCGTATGAAATATTATTAAAAAGTTAAAGCTTTAGAGTTGCTGCCCAGGTTGTCCAGTCAGAAAACGAGATGGAAATTTGTTTTATTTTTTCATAATAATAGAAGATAGTTTACAATATATGTTCAGTACAGTATATATAGCAACTAAACTTTAGTATAGCCTTCAGGCAATGTGCAGGTTTATTTTTCTATGATGGAAGAATTAGTCATGGTTAGGTCCACAGCTCACCATAGTTTTGTGAAGGGAACTAATCTTCAGTGATATTTGAAAGGCCTTAAAATTTTCAGGAGGCAACTCTTCTCGAACAACCAGAGAAGAAGAAAATCAGCCTTAAGCGGTCTGAGCCACCCTTACCAGCAGCTCCTGCCATAGTTGAGCCAGTGACAGAGAATGATCCACCTGCTCCCCAGGAAGAGGAAAAGGACGAGGAGAGCGACACACCACCCAAGAAAGTCATTAAGCTTGATACTGCTACTGATAAAAGTGTGAGTAGTTTAATGCAAAAAAAAATAAAAAATTCTAATAAGAGTACAGTAGTAGCGCTAACAAGCTTCATGGTGCACATTTTCAATTATGAGACTGATGATGGAGGCGACTTAATGGACCTTGACTACATATCCACTGATCCACATCATCTCCACTATAACCTTGCATAATACTACTTCACATCCACTTTATCTCCCAGTACACAACCTGGGAGGCCACCCAAACCATTTACATATGTTGGGACATGGACACCTTCAAGAATCTTTGGGAAGGTTTTAGAATCTAGGGGAAGACTTGTGGTTGTCCAAGAGGGCGGCTGCGCTCGTCCATCCATTTCCAATATTGTCTAAGATGGACAAAGAATTGTTTATTCCCTGTATGTTTTTGGCCTTGTGATAGTTATTGCACAGTTTGTATGAAGGATTTTGTGTGCATGTAACTGAGTAAAAAACAGAATGAAGAAAGTCAAGTTTATCTACCTGAAGTTACGAGTTGAAAAATAACCATAGTGTAACTCATGGCTTGGCCTGGTAGGGGGATGTGGCTACAGTGACCTGTCTAACTTGGCAACAATGCCACCAGTGATGTTAACAGATGCAAACTAATGGAAAATTATCTGTCAAATTTAATTTCCATCGGGTATTTGCATATGGTATTTAAAGTGGCATATATAGCGATTGGCATGCCGCCAAAACATTAGTGGCCAACTGGCAAAACTCCGAGATGCTTCCGCTCGATGGGAGGTTCACCAGGTAGTAGAATTTTCGTTCACGCTACCAACTGACCACACCGTTCTTTTGGAGGTTTGCTGGGTAAAGGAATTTCCAAAAACAGTGTTGTTGTTGTGTTGAAGTCGCTGTATGTTAGAATGCTGGATATGGGAACTTCAACCAGTGTATATTTGTCAAATTCATAAATGTAGTTTTCCATTGAATCAAAATTGTTCCTTATACAGTCAGTTCTGCTATAACGCGATAGTTGTGTTCTTGTAAAACATCTTGTTATAGAATTTCGCATAATAGAAATAACAGGGCTTATGGAGAAAATAGGGTTAGGTGCAGATTATTACTCGAAATCGAAAAAAATTTAGTAGTTAGCCTAACACAAAGGATAGTACAGTCTAAATAAATGTTACATTCATATCTAATAATGAAATCATACAGTAAACGTAACACTTTACCTTGAAAAAATGTGAATATAACTTGATGGGGGAGAAGGGTGATTTTGAGGTAGATAACATCGAGCTTCTCTTCAAGGGTTATAGCCTTTCTTTTACGATCATCACCGGGAATGCGATCACCAGAATGCTTCTTGGAGATATTCTTCTTTACCATATTCACAGTTAATACCACAAAATTGGAGAAATAGTAAGCAAAAATCGCGTTACAGCAAACAAGCGTTCGCGTTATACATAAATCGCGTTAGAGCCAATTCGCGTTGTCAAAACACGCGTTATAGCAGAACTCACTGTAATATCGTCAGATTTGGCTTGATAAGACCATCTTATGTCTTCACCTCATCAAGTGTTACTTCTCTGAACACTTTATATTATATTAAAATTTTCTTGGTAAGTGAGAGAACCACCACAATCCTCTGCTGGCACTTGGATATTCAGTAAACTCCCTTTAACCTGGACGTGCTTAATCCAGATCCCCTTGCAAACCAGACTAGGGTCCAGCACCAGACACACATACTGTACCCTCAGCCCAGAAAAACATGACCAGAATCCGGTTAGCAGGAAGAATAGTTTGAGTAAGTGGGGGAATGTATGGCAAGGCTCAGAGATGGCAGTACAGTGAGTTCTGCTATAACGCGTGTTTTGATAACGCGAATTTGCTCTAACGCGATTTATGAATTAGGAACAATATTTGTATAACGCGAACGCTTGTTTGCTATAACGCGATTTTTGCTTACTATTTCTCCAATTTTGTGGTATTAACTGTGAATATGGTAAAGAAGAATATCTCCAAGAAGCGTTCTGGTGATAGAATTCCCGGTGATGATTGTAAAAGAAAGGATATAACACTTGAAGAGAAGCTCGATTTTATCAACCTCAAAATCACCCTTCTCCCCCATCAAGTTACATTCATATTTTTTCAAGGTAAAGTGTTATATTTACTGTATGATTTCATTATTAGATATGAATGTAACATTTATTTAGACTGTGCTATCCTTTGTGTTAGGCTAACTACTAAATTTTTTCGATTTCGAGTAATCTGCACCTAACCCTATTTTCTCCATAAACCCTGTTATTTCTATTAAGCAATTTTCTATAACACGATATTTTACAAGAACACAATTATCGCGTTATAGCAGAACTACCTGTAGGTGCCTCTCATCATTTGGGCTTGAGAAATTTAGTGTGTTTCACTTAATATCTATACCAGCTACAATACTTTGTGTTACTCTTAAATTTAAAACTGTCACACTTCTCTGTTGAACCATGCTCTGCTACCTTGATGATACACATCTGTGTGCTGTGTATGTTCCTTTCTCTATTTGCATGCTTACCCTGTAAAACTAATGAAGTGCTTTATGCACACTGAACAGAACCTTTACCTGATATATTTATTTATCAAAAATATGCACTGAACAGTGCATACAGTATTTTATTAATTAAGTGAATAGTAAATAGATTTAATTTAAAATATTAACATCTTATACGTACTGTACTTTATATTTCACAAACAGCCAATTGAAGTAAGAGCCGAGAGATTTGGCATTCCAATGACAGAGGAAGCAAAGAAGTTATCCCGTGCATCACGTTTTGGGCAGGCCACAAATGGTGCAACAATCAACAAGAAACCAGCCAAGCTCTCAATGGAGACAGGGGTGAGGAATCTTTTTTTTGTATTTTCTGATGTAGTACAAGCAGTATACAGTATATGTATTTCCGTTACCCAGAAATCTCTCATTCCTGGAAGTGCTCTGCACCAATTGTTCCGGCTAATGGGGATATCACTATATATGTATATTCTCCATTTACGCGGTCAGTTGAACCCGTGGAGGTCCTCGTAAAACGAGAAACGCATAAACGAAATAACAGAACATATGGGATTAATTGAAATAGAGACCAGGCCGACCCCCAAACTACACTTTTTCCGACACAATACGTACGTTGTAGTAAAAAGAACATCTTAGTTTTATGATGGTATGCACACACAATTAATATTTAAGAGAAATATCAATAATATTAGGTTCTTTAACAATTACGTTAGTAGAAAAGATGGCTGGGCACACGGGGATGTGGGGTTGGTTCCGAGGCAGAGGGCAGATTATTGGCCCTCACCTGTATCACTTGTATTGTATCACTGTCCACCACAGAGGCTTGCAGGGCCTCTTTGTCAAACCCCTCAAAGTCCATATCCTGACTATCACTGACTTGGGCTGGCTGTGGTGGGTGGCGGGTAAAGAACTCGGTAATGTTTTGTTGACTGGGCAACCTTGTGTGCACCCTGCCCGCGCCGCTCCCCGCGTAAATGATGGAATGAACCGTGTAAATAAAAATTGTCGGTCTGGCAAGGTGCCTCGAAAATGACCAAACACGTAAACCAAATCCGCGTAAATTGAGACTATACTGTATATGTATATTTAGCATTGTCTCGCCTCTCACGAATTGTCAGAGATGTGAATACTAAATACAGGCATGTTCCGAGATTTATCTGTTCGAAGTTTGTCCAATTAGCTTATTTTAACCAAATTACTACCTATTGCCTTAGTTTTGACTGGGTGAACTCACCAATTCAACTGTGTGTTACACAGTCAAGGTACCAGGCGCATCTGTATATGTCCGTGGCGTCTTTTTCAGTGTGTCCAGGAGTAGTTGTGTACAGTGGCAGTGTATATTGACTTTTATATTGCAAAATTTCTTCCATAAATCTAAGTCACCCACTGTATTCATCATGGCCAGTAATAAGAGAAAGTGAGATAGTGTTGATAGTGCTAAAAAGAGAGGTCATTGAAGCCATAGTTATGAGATAAAGTCAGTTACTGTACATATCAGAAAATAAGTGAAGGTGGATACATAAGATGTTTGGTGAGTACCATATGAATAGTTTGTTTACAGTAATACAGTATTTGTACTACAGTACTGTAAGTCTGGGGGTCGAGAACACATCAGTTGTAATTACATTATTTCTTAAGGGGAACGAATTTTGATCAAATATCGGGATTTACCTGTACAGTACTTGAATAATCAAAGATTACTGTACTACTATATACGTATACCCGAGTATGTCATGTGAATAATGACTTTTTGGGTGGTAAAAACCGCTAAACATTTAGTAAGTATCTGAGCAGCGGGTTCATGAATAATAGTTTATGTGCTTTGTCAGGGATATTGTAATTGTATATTTTTTTTATGTTTCTATTATGTTTCATGAGGTGAATAAGTTCATGAAACACTCTTGTCACTTTTTTAAAAACATACCAGTATTTAAAATATGCATAACCCAGTGATCATACTGTCCACATTGTGAATTATTCTTTGCTTGTGAATACACATCTGCAGAGTTTTATGAATCCCTTATGTTAGTTTTCTTTTATTACAAATGTATTAATTGTTACATGTACTTGATACAGGGAACAGATGTGGAAAAGCTGAAAGCTCGTGCTGAAAGGTTTGGAGAAGTGACTTCAAAGTCACTGGTCAAGGTAAGCATTCCAACCAGTGTATATTTCTAACTAAACCATTGAAACAGTTCTCTGACTTTTGTGCATGCTTTACTAAAAGGGGTGGAACAGCAGCGCCAACTCTTTTGAGAAAGTAAGATTACAGTGGTCCCTCGGTTAACGACAGGTCCAATTAACAAAATTTTGGTTAACGAAATAGCTCCCATAAAGATTTTCAGTTCGATTAACAAACAAAACTTCGATTAACGAAAGCCTTACGAGAAACACGTTTTGTGTGCATCAGCTGGTCAGCTAGTCCGCCACTACAGTATTCGGTTCTATGTTTACATTCGTTTCCAGTGGAGTAAATATCAAGAAGGTTGTGTTCTTTAATATTTTTGCATTTTTTATATTAAAACTATTAGTCATTCTAAAATTTAGTTTACTTATTGATAATATATTTAGTTCAGGGAACTAGTGTTTGTACGCCCATCAGCCGCTTGACTCACCTGCCAAAGCTTCTCTGTTTAACTTTGTTTACAGTGGAGGAAGTATTGAGGTTGTTGGTCTCCTGAATATTTTTACATTAAAATTATTTCTTTAGTTACAGCTAGTGAACTTAAAATTTTATTGGTGAAATTACTGCATCTAGCATGGGTGAGAAAGATGATTCCCCTCAGTGTTCCTCTCCAAAAAGGAGAGAGGATTATGAAACTGTCCTAGAGGTTCTATATATTGCTGTGAAGGACATTCTAAGTATTAAAAAGTTTATTCTTTCTCACCCCACTTCTTCTTCTTTCCTCCTCTACCTACTTAAGTCCACATCGAATATCATCAATCATAATAGTTTGCATACAATTGCAAAGAACCAAATTGCATTTGCCTAGATTGTATGTACTTTTCTGCAAGGAAACCACCACATCAACAGTATCCCATTGAAATAATAGATCTAGTTAACAAATGACCTAGGAACCATCGTGTTCATAACCAAGGAGCACCGTATCCATTGATCCCTGACCTGTTTATCTGAAACAGAATCTAGTTTAACAGGATACTTTGTCAGATGAAGAAATAATTTTTTGGGGTGATCTAAATATTCACCTCCAAGAGTAGATGTTTATAGATGACGAAAGTGGGAGACAAGTGGTGAGGAGGGATTGGGAGGTGGGGAGACAAGTGGTGAGGAGGGATTGGGAGGTGGGGAGACAAGTGGTGAGGAGGGATTGGGAGGTGGGGAGACAAGTGGTGAGGAGGGATTGGGAGGTGGGGGAACGAGTGGAGTTTTGTATTGTTTTTCCTACTCGTTATTGATGATTTAATTTGGATAATTTTATGAATTTTACTGATTTTCTCTATTTGCATTTTAATCATTGTTGTTCAACATCATAAACTGTTGGAGGGAGGGTAGTTAGAGAGAGGAGACAGTGACTGGATAGGCTAATCCATGATGTTGTTCATGGCAACAACATTATTGCATCAACAATCTCATATCATGACTTGAGATGTTGACTTGACAAGACTGTGTCGAAGAAACACGTGGGGTAGAGACGCAGACAAACATACCAGACTCAGCGGCATCACATCATTAGGGCAGCTCCACTGCTGGATATCACCGTACTATAATGCAACTGTACCAAACTACATGTATAATATTTTGGGGTGTATATTGACCATACTGTATAAAGAACACTATCAAGCTGTACTATAACACGACCCTTCTGTACTTCCTTAATCCCATCCCTCTGACATTGTCTAGGTCTATTAATCTTTTCAGAATACTGCGTGTAAAAAAAAATATGAATGATTGTTATGTTTGTTATTTTACACAGGTGTCTGAATTGGAGAAACTAAAGTTGAGGCAAGAGAGATTTAATGCAGCTCAAGCAGCAGAGAATAAGACAGCAACTGAAAAGACCTTGATGTAAGTAGTGATATAAGAACAACTCCTGATTTATGTACTGTACAGCCCTGTAAATGTATTCAATGCATATTATATCATTATGTCTAAATCAAATGTAAGTCTGTATATTTTCAGCCACCGGCTGCAACTCTATTAATAAACCGTTTATTATTATTATTACACACACACACACACACACATATTTACAATACAGGAAAACCTCCAATAACGACGGAGGCTTGTGTACAAAGAAATGTATATTCCCTTTATGTGTTTTCCCCTAGGACAATTATATCTTTTACCTGTATTGTATATATAATAATAATAATAATTAACGGTTTAATGAAAAGTTCTGCAGCCCGAAGGCTGAAAATATACATTGGGCATAAATAACTTATTACATACATTGGTGGTTTAACAAAAGCCTTCAATAGATAAAGGTAAAGGAACATACAGTGAACATACAGATTAATGTAGGTGAAATTTAAGCATTTCCGACTTACGACCATTTCGACTTACGACCTGGAATAGGGACCCAAATCCAGGTCGTAAGTCGAGGAGTAGCTGTATTCAGATTGTTTGAATTTTGAATTAGTGAGGGTTTATTGTATTAGCGTAAGAGTGACCAACTTTTTGTCTGAACTTTAGCTGAGGTTATAAAAAAATTATTTATTGTTTGCAGTGATTTTTTTTTTCCAAAATTAATTTCTTCGTGTATTTTGTATTGAATTTTTATATTTATTTTTTTTCCATTATTAAGTTTAAATGTTGAATTTTTGGCAAGGGATGAAGTGCACTTCTTTCATGCAATACCATTAACTGACTAAATATTTGCTGATTCCTCTAAATGTATGAATTTCTGGTTCTGACCGTGTTCATATGTTACAGAACTGGCTTATTGGTGTCTTCATACTGTAAGTAATCGTATTTATTTCAATTGCAGAACCAGTTTAGATTCGGCTGCAACTGCAAGGATAGCACGTTTTGGAGATGCGGGAAACAAAGATGAGGATGCATTGAAGAAAAAGCGAGCTGAAAGATTTGGTGCACAATGAAGTCAAATACATGCCTAGTAAATATGGCAAAAATTATTGATATACATTAAAGTAATAAATGTAAATCACCAAGACAAGTCAATTTCTAGTTTTATTGATAATTCAGATGGAAATGTTCACTTGTGTGCAAGATGTTGATGTATATCACAATATTTTGCTGCATTGGCGTGCAATCAGTATAAGCACCACCACCAGATGTCTTACATGTACACACACCAAAAAAAACTAACTGCCCACCTGGGTCCGATGTGTTCGGTAATGAATACAAGCTACAGCAGTTTCGGTTCGGTTATCATTGTTATTATCAGGTGTAACTCACAATCAGAAATACCAGCTGAACCGGAACTATTGTACATTGTGTTCATTTCCAAACACCGGACCCAAGTGGGCATATAGTTTTTATTTTTATTTTTTATTGTGTGTGTGTGTGTGTGTGTGTACAGTATAGTATGTGAATTTTTCCAAATTAGAGTATTGTGTAAAGGTCAACTTTTTCAAGTGTAATGTTATTATGAAAAGACATCAAATATATGTAGTACAAAGAAGCACTTCATTAAAAAAGAATGAATGAATTTTTTGTAAAGTCTAAAAGATATGTTAGTTGTTTATTTTAAGGGCATAAAGCAACTTCACTTATATTTCCAATTTCGTATTTGTTTTTGACTATTTAATGATTGTACTGTACAAAGGTCATTCAATAAGTAACGAAACTTTTAAATGTAGACGGCAAAGGGGTGGGCAAGTGCAGCGATCATGTCATGACATGTTTAGACATGCATAAGCTACATCATCTGTTTGTTTAGTCAGTTCATTCAATTAGTCTAGTGTAAGTGTTGCATTAACGATGAGCGCTCCGCTTGTATTTTCAACTTTGGAAGAATGACGATCTGTTATTCGTTTTTTAAATTCGGAAGGGATAAAACCAAGCGAAATTCATCACAAAATGTCACTTCTATACAGAAGCTATTGCATCAATTGAGCGAACATTTACAAGTGGGTTGAACAATTCAATAATGGTCAAACAAGTATTGTAGATGAAGATCGTACCGGACGACCCGTCGAAGTTTCAACACCCACAGTGCAAAGCATACTCGGGAAATGATTACAATACTGGGTTGGGAGATTTTGCCGCATACAGTCCAGATCTTGCACCATCAGACTACCACATGTTTGGTCCACTCAAAATAACTTTACTTGGAGAGAATTTTTCAAATAATGACAAGGTGAGGAAAGAAATCCCAAATTGGTTACGGAGTCAACCAAAAGAATTTTTCACCACTGGAATAAGAAAACTCGTAGAAAGATGGGACAAATGCATAGCTGTAGAGGGAGAGTATGTGGAAAAAGAGGTATGTGATGACTAATAATAAATCGTTACTTCTGCAGTTACATTAATTTGTCTCGTTACTTTTTGCATGACCCTTGTAGTTTTACACTTCTTTGTAGAGCTTATGTGTGCATAAATCAGTCACATAATAAAGTAATGTACCTGTAAATTTTTGTTTGTCATCAAATATTTGTAATACTTGTGTGAAGAAAAATTTAATTGTGGAATTTAAATTGTCTGTATAAGCAACTACTTGATGGATTTTCATAGAAACAGTTAATAGAATAGCCGATAATTAGATAAAAAGAAACACAAAATTCTCATCTTAAACATATTGCATAGTTATCTTTTCAGGTATATTTAATTTACGATATGGTTTTTTCTTTTACATCTTATGTAGAAATACATCTTTTATATTTCAGGATTAGTCACTGTACCTATATAAGCCGTCTTGTTAAATAATATTTTTATTAAACTTTTTACTTAATACCAAAAATTCCTAATGTTAGAACATTAGTTGATAATTTTTATTCTAAAGTTTTTGGATTGGTTTTATTTTCTTAGGCAATAATATTTCACATATCCCCCAAAAAAAAATACCCACTGGAGTGGCTCAGATTTTTCATTTTGATAGATAAATATCTTAGTGGGATGTGCATATTTAGAAATGCACGCACACTCTCAAAAGAGTATACATGTAGAAAATGGATTCCATGCAGTCTGGCTGTAGTATTTTTCAAGCTTAGTAAAGTTGGTCATAGCTTATTTTGTTAATTGTTGTAGGAAAGTTTCCACCTTTATAGTGGTTTGTCTTGGTGTGTTACAAGATAATTCCACCCATTTCAAAATGACAATATAAATGGTTTGATCTCTGAAGGTTGAGTTTATAAGACATGAAAAATAATTATGTTTTACTTTATGAACTGTAGTCAATGACTAATAAACTAAGATTGATCATTATAGGTCAACTTTGATATCATGTTTGAAATAGCCATAGTGGTGTTGGGCATTTGATGAGAGCAATGTTAGATTGGACCTGATCAGAACAGTGAAAGTTTACCCATATACAGTGGGTTTCCTTATGTCAATTAATATAAGTAAGGATATGGCCATTTGAAGTGTGTTTGAGGAACCCTCTTGCCATCTCCGATCAATAGTGAATCAACTTGTACACACCTGAATATTTTTCACTCAGAGATGTCGATATCAAAACTTGGAAGCTGAGCCACCCTAACGGCCCATTGATGTGTGTGTGTGTATAGTATTTATTCTTGATCATTGATGAAGTTGTTGTAAACTGTGTTTATTTGGTTTTCCTTATTTGGCATGTTTTTTTTTTCTTCAATAATAAACATGTAATTGATTAAATTTTTATGAGCAGCTATTGTTTTAAATAAAATTTAACTTGCTATGCAATCTCTCCTCCAAAGGCTGCTGAAGTAACTTAAGAGTATATGAATTTAAATTGTTTGATAAAAATAAAATTATAGATTGTGTGGACTTGCAGTATGTTTATATAAGAAGCCACTTTGTTATCAAAATGCATTGCACAAATTTATCTGAAACAACATTTTCTAGTGTGGTACAGTAAAAGTAAAATCAATGAACATTTGCCGGCAAATACATTAACTAATGCTATATAAAAAAGGGTATATCCCTGTACTGTATTTATAGATATTAATTTGTAACCATTTATTTTACTGTTGAGGCTAATTATTAGTATTTCATAAGACTTGAACTAACTTGTAACAATATAATTTCTGTTGAGGTTGAGTATTAAAAATTTTTAAGATATGAATTTCAAACTTGCAATAAATGTTAAGAGTAGTTATATCCTCTATAATTTAAGACAAAATCATCATGCCTGAATGTTGAAGAGAACTTTTCCTTTCAGTGTACAGTTAGAAGCTCGATACACCAGACTAATTGGGGCAGACACTAGTCCGGTACGTAAAAGCAAATCTGGGGGGGGGGGGCTTCTTATCTGGACTGTTTCTAGAAAATCGGATATAAGTCTGGTTGTTGATAACTGTTTTCGTTGATAAGATTGTTTCGTACTGTAAATTTTGTATCCATAGTATAATTGGTAGAAGTGCGTCACCAACATGTACTTGGGGATGTTTGTTTTCACCCTCACCACATTGATGCCCCCATGCCCATAGCCCTGATCTTTATGATTACTGGAACAAATATGACTCTGAGGACACCTGTGTTTGGGAAGTATATAGACTGGGACAAGTACTGACATCGTTGTTACGACTCAGATTTTCATTCCTCTTTATATACAGTACAGTATGTAATTTGATCTTGATGCCGTGTTGTAATCTATTTCCCATCATAATAAATAGTTTCTGTCTTAAAGAAATTTTCCATTTACTTACTACATTGTGGAGGGGGCAGATTTGAGGAGGGACTGAGGTGTCACTTTTGATGCAACGTATCCTCTTATTTTCAGGTCAGATTACAAATTATATACTGTATACAGTATTGTATTTGGTTTTAATATTAAAGATATTATATTATTTATGATGAGTGACACACCATAAGAGGTTGATCATATGAGAATACTGTATACATTAATCTCTGTTAGCTGTAATATTTGGTCATGGAACTCTTCAATAACCCTTTTTTTAACATTTCAAGAATTTCAGGGAAAAGTCTCTCGCATTACAGACATCACACGTGTGTGGTGGGTTAAAGATCAGCTGTTGAGCAGTGCTTGTTAACACATGGTGCGTGTTACCACTCCTTTCCACTCCATCTCTCTAATCACCCTCACCTTTCTGGTTTCTCACTCCATATTTTAAAATACTATTATGTAAAGTAATGTTGAATGGATACAATGTTGCTTATTTATGCTTATAATCAGCTGTTCAATAACATAGCAGTGGTGCAGTGTTACTAAAGAAACCAATAGATGCAACACCACCTCACCACTTACCACAATCTCCCTCTATTATCACCATCTAAATCATAATTTCAGTGATGCACAGATGGATTAGCTTCAGCTAGAGCAGACCCGTATGTTAACCACTGCCTCCCACTTCCCTCCCTTCCACCCACTATACGCTAAACGTATCCTGAGCACACCATAGTATTACTGTTATGGTTATACTGTACTGTATAAAGTTAATGCAAGTGAAGGGTCAGAGCTTCACTGACTCAGAATAGGTTATTCCAAGTCACTACTATGCAATACAATCATGGCAAAATAAACTCCTCTATCAGACATAAAAGGTAAGTGAAATTACTCTATACAGGTACTCCTTTATTTACATCCTTTTACAATGTTTATTATATCTTTAATGTCTTTACCTGTTATTGTGTTTGTTATTTTTTCTTTGTTTTTCCTTTATTTGGAATCCACTGATAAATGGCATTAGTGGACCGCCCCCCCCCATTATTCCATAGAATCGAGGGTCTACCGTAATAATGAACCTATAATAAAGTTGTGTTGATAGCTGATGTTTGCTGCAAGAGGGATGAGGGGTCAAGGAAGTGAATACAGTACGTAGTTCCTCACCAACCACGAGGGGGGGGGGGGTAGGCTGCTGAAAAAACCCGTAGTTGGCAAGATTAAAGGCTTATGGGAAATAGGTTCAATGGCCACGGATAATACTTGTCAAAGTCTAAGTTGCCTGCGTTCCTTCACTAAAAAATACCTGTATTGTACACTCGCACCAAAAAGTATCGGTGCAGGGTGAGATCGACGACTTCCGAAACAATACGTATACTACACTGATATGTCGGGATGGTTGGTAAGTGTATCCTCATAACCCCCATCCACTAGGTGTTGCCATATGGCTGACAATCAGTGTGTTTGTTTCCTCTTTTCGGATTGTTGCTTTGTGTCGACTGAATGATGAGCGAGGGTTCGGTCTCGGTGAACGTGGGTATAAAACAGAGGCAATATGAAGCAGTAGAGATTTACACATGCCAGACGACATGGAAACCTCAGAGGGACACGAGGAGCTATTATTGCCCTTCATAACGAAGGGTTCGGCGTCACAGATATTAGCTGGCGGGTTGGTGTCCACAGGAACACCGCTGCACAATGGATTCGGCGATACCTGGAAACTAGTGCTACAGATGACGGGGGGGTTGAACAATTGGTAAATAAGCCACTACCTACCGGAAATTATGATCAAAGGGCCCGTAAAGTATTACATTTAGATTACACAATGTTCAGTATACAACGACATTATGAAACGGATCAATATGTGGGTGCTTCTATATTGATATTTGTGAGATTCGAAACGTGTGGAATGAAACGGATGAAATATATCTCCATACATCAACGGTCGCAGCTCGGCAGGATTACAGGGCTGCCAACATACGCAAGGAACAACAACTCGCCTTTCTCAATACCTATCGTCACTGGTCTCAAATTGTTTACACTACAGTATACACCGATACTTTTTGTTGCGAGTGTACATCGTACTTATCATTGGTGTTTTCTTCCTTATAGTGAGAGGACAGCATTAAACTGTTTTCAATTTGTTATGATGTCTGAGAAGTGATATATACTGTTGTTTTGCGACTGTAAAGTGCTTTGGCTCCGTTGTTGTGAAAATAAAGAGCAGTGACGGCCACTGTCATTGTTTTTATGTTATCATCATTTACTCTGTTTATGTGACAAGTGCTTTTGCTGTTTTGTGACTGAAAGTGAGCAGTGTAACCTTGAAAAAGCCCGGGAAGGCAAAGGCATCCAAGACAACCGTGTCTCTGAGGCAAGGCTTGACATTGGGAAGTGACATGAGACTCCCCAGAGGCTGTGTGGGAGTCAGATTGACATCTCCACTTCACCTACAAAAGTCCTCTTAGACTAGAATGGGGTATGTGATGACCAGGCTTAGTCTTCATGATGTGGTGAGTGTTGTTTTATTGTTTTCTATTGATTTTATAAGTGTAGGAATTTTTTTGTAAGTGATACATGTGTGTTTGAGGACTGGCTGGGAATGTAACTCATTGAACCCCGTGTTATAATGCTCCCTATCTACGATATTTCACTTTAGCGATGGGTATTCAGGAACCTAATCCCATCGTTTATCGGGGTTTACCTGTACAGTATATATATATATATATATGTATGTATATATATATATATATATATATATATATATATATATATATATATATATATATATATATATATATATATATATATATATATATATATATATATATTATACAAGCGCTGTTTTCGCCCATAGCCCCGCCATAGTGCTGCATTCGTCCATTGTCCCGCCATAGTGCTGCATTCATCTAATGCCCCTCCCTGGTGCTGCATTCGTCCATAGCCCTGCCATAGTGCTGCATTCGTCCATGGCCCCGCCAGTGCTGCATTCATCCATAGTCCTGCCATAGTGCTGCATTCATCCATAGCCCCGCCATAGTGTTGCATTCGTTCATAGCCCCCTCTATTGTGCTGCATTCGTTCATAGCCCCTCTATTGTGCTGCATTCGTTCATAGCCCCTCTATAGTGCTGCATTCGTTCATAGCCCCTCTATTGTGCTGCATTCGTTCATAGCCCCTCTATAGTGCTGCATTCGTTCATAGCCCCTCTATTGTGCTGCATTCGTTCATAGCCCCTCTATAGTGCTGCATTCGTTCATAGCCCCTCTATAGTGCTCCATTCGTTCATAGCCCCGCCATAGTGCTGCATTCTACTACCTATATTTTTTCACATACTAAAACAATCCTTATTTTCTTTCCATAATCTCCCTATTGTACTCAGTAAACAACATGGCAACTGTGTCATGTGTTTTGTTTACCCAAATTAAAATATTACGAGCACTATACTCTTATGGTTATGATGTTAGATGTATCTGTATAGACGTATAGTACATACAGTCGTGGATACATACAGTTACAGGTACTAGGTATGGCACAGCTGTTAAGATTCACACTTACCTCTACAAGATTCTCCCATGGCTGATTACGTTAGGTTTGGTTGCTGTTATGGTTGGCCAGCAAGTCACTGTTTCAAATGTATTTACTCATTCATTCACACACACACACACTTATTTAATTTGTCTTATGTTCTATGTATGTCTCGTTCTTCCATATTATGTGTCTGTTTCTCTCCCATGCTTTATCATCTGCATATCTCATCCGTCTGAATTCTCTCGTTCCTTTGTTATGTATATGTATTTCCTTATCACCGCCCCCTGTCTTTCTTCACTCCCTCCTTCATCCACTTTCTCTTCTATTTCTCCCTAGTTCTTCATACCTTCTCCCTTTCTACCTATATAAAACCATTAATAACGAAAAAAAAAAATTAATACAACCCAACAAATCGCTGTCATCCCTGAAATAATCTGAACAGGAAATCTTCAACAAGTTTCAATTCCATGTGACTCTTCATCCCTCTATAAGATTTGCAGTCATAGGCTTTGCTGATGTGCAGTTTTAAAAGTATTGAGGGGAGGACAAGGGGATACGGGAGAGATTTGGTTACCATTATCAGGCTTTTGTGATGAGAAGTATTTAACCGTATCATCTTGGAGTGTCCCAACAAGATGTGGATTCCATAACCAGTAAGGGAAAGCGGTCTTGATTAAGTGTGTCCTGGTATGTAAGCCTAATCAACTTCCGAGTGCCGTGAGAAAAGTTCCTTGGGCTTACACACTTTTATAGAAAAGCGTGCGTGCGTCAGTGCGCGTGCGTTCGGGTGTGGGTGGGTGGGTGCGTGTGTGTGTGAGTTAGTGGGGTTTCCCACAGGGTGATGTGATGCGTCTAGTGTAGTAGCAACATGTTAGTGTTAAGGCTCAGGCTCTGCTTGTACCTCTTGCTTTCAGCTACCGCCGCTGGCTAGCCCTCGTGGTGAACGGGGGGAGCAGCCCTGCGTAAGTCTTCCCCTGCCAGTACACAGCCTCTCCATCACCAAGACTCCTGCTGTGCCTCCTCGTGGCAGCTCACGGTAACTGGGTGCCTTGCGGCCCCAGGCTAGACCAGCAGGGGATCTCGGAGTAGCAGAGGACCCCAGAGGTACGGCGCAGGGGCCCACCGACGTGTGGACACGCCCTGGCGCCTACCATCCCTTGCCCCACTGCCTTGTGGGTTAGTCCAGGAGGACAAAAATAAAAGGCTTTGGGAGCTCACCCTAGTCAAAGCCGCAGGGGGGACCCGTGTCAGGCAGGTTTCAAGAGACTGGAGTCCTGGCAGGCCCTGCACCCATGTTCTTATGGTTATCTGGAGTCTCCCCTGTTACTTAACCTGGAGGACTTTACCATGTGTGTGGCTGTAGGAACTGCGCACTCCTTCCTCCGTCTAAATCCTTCCATAGTGCAGTCTTTTGCTCTTTTCATCCTTATCTAGTTGCAACTATCTAGTCATCCTAACCACTCCTTACATTAGTTATCAAACCTTTCGGCCACGGGATAAAGTAATAGGTGGATAAAACTGGCAGCCTCTAGATCAGTGGTTTTTATTTTTTTTAGACCCCCCCCCCCTCATAATTTATTTTGGGTACATACTTCCGGAGTAGGTAGGGATTGAGTTGGCAGGGGTTGGATTGACCGACCACCATATGTATCTGTTGTAGGGATGAAACCAGAGTTTAAAAAAAAAAGATTCACGAAAGACACGGCACTGCAGCGTTCGACAGAGAGGTGTGTGTGGCGGTAAAACTAACTTATAATATTGGAATTGGTTCATTTTACCGCCATACCTCCCTGTCGAGCGTTGCAGTGTGGTGTTCCTTCGTGACTAATATTTTTTTTAACTGGTTGTAAACACGACGACCCCCGTCCACGGAAGAAGGCGAATAACAATACGGGCGTTAGTCTCATATACTCAGTAATCAACTGGAGTAACGTCATCAGTCTCGATGGACCGCCTTAAGCAAGTAAGTGTGTGTGTGTTATCTGAAGCTAGTTTGCAAGTCAGCATGAATGTGACTTTTTGTGTATATAGTAAAACCTACATTTAACGACATCAATCTAACGGGTATCGATTTAGATTTTTTTTTAGATTGCCCACGAGGGGGCTAGTTTATTGGGCACCCCCTTACATACTGTGCAAGGTGAAGCGCAGAAGCGTTTACAGTGCCCAACTGGGAAGCATGAGGAGTTCATGCTTGCCTTTATGACTCATGCATTAAGGGCGAAAAGGTCTGAAGGGTCATGGGTTTTGTCAGCAAGTTACATAAAGTGACAGAATGATGAGTGTGTGGGGGAGAATTCCCGGTACATTTCATCTGTTTGTAGCAAAGAGTGGCAGGTCCCTAATAATGTCAAGTGCCAGGGACCTGTAGGAGGAGGTCATAGGGCAGGTGAGGATGTAGTGAGAGAGGGTGAGAGTCGAGTTGACCACAAAGCTTATAAACAGTGCGGCCAGGCTCAGGGTTGCCAATGTACTTAACGGGTATAGTCCGTTATATGGAGGTTCCACATACAAGAAACCTCGGTATAACCGCCTGCATTCTCCCATATACTGTAGTTCCTTAAATAGACGTTTCATTGTAATTATTATTATTTTTGTTTCCGTTTGTTCATTTAATTACCAGAAAACCACACATACAATACGCATTCCTAATAACATGAATCAATTGTTTAGCGAAATCATAATGACTAATATAATTATTTCATGGGTCATTTATTAACACCATTAACTTGAATTTGTATTTTTTTTAGCTGAATCCTTAATAAACATATCCGGAAGTTCCTTTAGTAAAATTTTGTACGTCGGTAAAAATCACGGTCAAGTTTTTTTTCTTCACTCAAATTACCTATTCCCATCAAGCTGGAAAATAATGGGCTTGAATGACACCAAAGCTTGATTATATTGTATTAACACAAGTCCTTAGTAATGTCTATATAAACAAATTTCATAAAATATATTAAGAAACTAGATTAATGCAGTAATTTCATAAGGCCTCAGAACTCGGGTGTTGGTGTAGCTATATAAGAAGTGTCGCAGTGAGTTGGATGTCAGTCGGGCAAGCAGACGAGAAGGATAACGTTGCTCAACCTATCCTACACCACCTCCACTTATACACCATGATACTCGTAAGATACAGAGGAGAAGGATGACATTCAATGTATTTACGATAACCCTTAGTCATCTGGATTTAAACCTTAAACTATCTTAGGTGTAAACTGTAATTAAAATCCTGTTGTGTTCTTGCGTAAGACTTACAGTTGATAATTAATGTATTTTCAACCTTAACCTCATTGCAATTGTAAGAATGAAAGTATTTAGAGGAAGAATGAAAATTCCTTAAATACATAAAAATCTCGAACATAACCCACAGTAAGTTTACGACAATGTTTGAAGAGCTTTGGGTATAAACTTAGTCTGGTTATCTTTAAACATTGGCCACATATTGTTTTTTGTTGACATTTATCACATGGGTTTTACGTCATGCGAAATTAGGAGACAAACATCTCTCTCTCTCTCTCTCTCTCTCTCTCAACCATTCATCCTTCGCTGTACCTCAGGAAAGTGTTCTTGTGCCGCTGTTGTTCGTGACTGTGTGTAGGTGTGGTGCCCAGGAGGACTTCAAACCCTATGAGCGCGGGAGTCACAACACAGCCTCGGTGCACATCCAATCACTCTACACCTTGGGCCTCCAGGAGAACCTTGATGTGTGGTTGCCTACTGACGCCGGCACCTACAAGGTTTATTATTTCCTCGACGGCTTTGATGGAGTCATTCCTGGGGTGGCTTATGCTCAGGTGAGTCAGAGATACATACAGCGGAACACAGACAGGTGGGGGTACATACACAGGTGATAGGTATATATAGTTTACAATATTGTACAGTAAATAATAATCATCTCTCATACTTAAAGGTGTAGACATATGAAGGTGTTTACTTAATTATACAGTAAATCAGTTCTTCTTACGCATCTCATTTATCGTCAAACATTATGATTTACTGACACCTTTTTTTAACATCTTATTAATACCATGTGACCAAAAAACAGCTGGTATCCCACCACCCTGGGAAACTACCGTCAACACTTATCTCATGTCAGAATGTACTTAATGTTTTTGTAATGATTTAGGCCAACGTCTGTACCCGAGTAAATGTATTTTCTTCTGTATCATTTAAAGGTTTGTTTTTTATTTGATAATTATAGAAGTTATTTATTGAACCTTTATGAGTCAGTCTCGGGAATGTGGATGAAATTTGGATATATCTTTTACTTGCGATATATGAAAGACACACTCACTCACTCACTCACTCACTTTATCCTTTCTGCGTCTGATATTGATTTCACAATTATTATAAAAGTTGCGAGTGAAAAAGTCCGATTGTTGATCACCCGTTATTATTCTTTCATTCAGAAGTCCACAAGAGCATCCTAACCAAGGAAGAATTTACACCTCAGATATTCTCAGCCTTTGTTGTTGCAGACGATGGATCACATAGCCTCACACGGGGTGGCTGTGGTGGTTCCATGGAAGATCACAGCGTCTATTGACCCCGACGTGAGGATGTCCCTGTTCGTCTCCGTCATGAACTGGGCTGAGAATCACCTGGAGAAGAAACTACACAACAGCGGTATCAATGACACAGTTCACCTGGACCTGGATAATCTTGTTGGTGAGGCTTAGGTTTGATTCAGTCTTGGGGAGGAATATAAGGTAATGTACCTAACCTAACCTAATTGGATAGTCAGACACTCACGGTTTAAGTTCGCAGATAATAAATTAATCAATCAGAGTACCGTCTTTACATCTATGGGTTGGCGACCACAGTCCTCCACTCTACACATCTTTGGACTGTTTTTACCAATCCTACAAGATTTTGTATTTCTGAGGATCCAGTTTTTAATTCTATTCTTCCATCCTTGTCTCTGCCTTCCCCTGGCCCCCCTACCCTCAACTTTGGCCATTAAAATTTCTGCTATTATCCCCCCATCCTTAATTATATGTTTAAAGTATCTCATTTTTATTTTTCTGTATATTTCAAGTATTTCTCATGAAGTTTTTGCTAACCTTAGTACTTCTTTTGTTTTCCTGTAAGTGTAACTATTCTTAACATTCGCCTATAACACCGCATATCTGGTATCTGCTGAATGTGTCTATGCTTTCGTCTTTGCAGCATTAACTCTTAACTTATCTTCTTCACCTTTTGTTGCCAGTAAATAATTTTTTGACAAGACTCATATTGTATTTTATGAAAAATAACACATTCAATTCTTACATATAGAGTAAATGTTCAGTACCTTCAGTCTCATGAGCGCAGGGCAGGACAAAATCGTTTACGGTTCGATGAGACATGTTGCATTCTCCTCTGGGGTGAACATCTTAGCAAGTTATAAAATTTACCCCAGATTTACTGAATAAAAGTTGTTATACTATGGGATAAATTTTTTTTTGTCATATAACGGAAACTTGATATATTAAATATGATTTTCATACTAAAGTAGTTAACATCAAATTAGTAGAATCTGGGTTTATCATATTGAGTCAATATAAAGAATATAACGAAAGATAATCACAGCAGCTACAATTATGAAATCATAACGTCTCTTTTTTTTCTTCAGTTGGTGGTCACTCGGCAGGTGCTCACGTACAGGTAGAATACTTGAAGAGCACCTGTGGTAAGTTCAAAGGTCAAGTGTTCATGAGTCCAGTGGATGGTCTTACTGTCTTCTGCATCACACCTGGCCAGACCCTCAACTACATCATCCCCACGCTCCACCTGGCTGCCGGGCTAGACAATGTTCCAGGTACAATACATCATACTTCTGAAATCGATGGCAATATTTTCATATGGGGGGAAGGGAACCGGTGCCTCACCCCTCAAGTTCCAAACTAAGGATCCTACTGAACACTACTAAGGACCACAGAGTACCACAAGGGACCACTATGGGGACAACAAAGACCACTAGGGACCATTAAAGAGCAACCAAGGACCACTAATGAATCATCCATAAAATAACGTTAGTTGTACATTTGCTTGGAACCCGGGAAACATCGACATTGTATACAGAATTGCTAGAGGTCTTTAAGTGGCTCCTTTTGGTCCTTTGGAGTACTTAGTGGCCCATTTTAAATCTTTGTGGTCCTTGGTGATGTTTAGCAAGACCACAGACTAGGGGACTATACAGGGCAACTAATAAAGAGTAATGTGTATTGCCCAAGGCTGTGTGACCCCTTCATGACACTCATTATCATGTATGAGGGTAAAAGTCACGATTATAATAAGAGCTGAAATAAATCCATGAAGTCAGATTTTGCTTTCATAATGTGATAATGTGACAAGATAATGTGACATAAGTAATGCATTTCCCACAATTCCTTCCCCGAAGACACCAGTCGACATTGACACTCTTTGGTTGAAAATCGGCTTATTCGATCATATATGTTACAGTTAACTCTCCCTCTAACTCTCAGGTGTAGGCGGCTTCCCCTGTGCTCCAGATTCCCTCAGTAATGATCGCTTCTACGACGCTCTGGACCCGACCTCCCAGCGTTGGTCCGTCAATGCTACCCAGTTTGGTCACGGGGGATTCCTCGATCCTCTGTATGAAGAGTCCCTGGAAGTGCTGGACTTTTGTGGCTACAACGTGAATGCTACAGATGATGAGTTTGATGCTTACAGACGGTACATTGCTGGCCAGATTGTGACCTTCATTAAAGGTGAGACAAATTAAGTGAAGAACTTCCTAAATGTTGAGGTAATGTGGATTCAGATCTTATTGTATTTCATTTTTTTTCATTTAATTCCATCAGTATGAATTAATAAAAGTCCAGTTGTCTTTTATTTTTAAGTAATTTGGCATCTGTATAGAACTGAATTCTCATTTCTAAGCTTCAAACTATTTGGGTACAGTGTAAACAAGAGCAAATATATGATATACCTATAACAGTTACTCAAATATCCACTTAATAATTGAGTACTGTATTACAAACTGTTGATCCAAATTATATGAATCCTATTGAATATTGATTGGGCACTACCATCAAACAGTACAGCTTCGTCAGGAGTAAAGAGTAGGTTTCTTGGGTCTGGGTAAGTAGTTCTGGTTAGTGACTGTCAGTATAAGATGTTGTCTCGGCGTCAGGCTGGTATTCGTGTTCTTTACGGACATCTTTCTCCTCCGTTACTTTTTCACACCCCGTACATGAACTTTTATTTCTTCTCAGTAGTTGCCTACATTCTTGTAAATACTTGTCAGTCTGAATTTATTTTTGATCGGTACCCTATAACAGAAATTTTTTCAGTTCACAACACTAACTTTTACAGCAAGTATGAATATATTTACACCTGGCATGGTTAGATTTTAATGATAAGAAAAAATAACGAATCAAGGAGTGTTAATAAGGTAGTGTTGTGTCCCTCAGCGCTGTTCACGGAGGAGGGTGACTGTGGACAGTACCTGCCCTACCTGGAGGACACCAGCCGTATGATTGTGGACACTGAGGAGCGACACCAGAACCCCGTCGGTGGGTGTCCTGTGGCAGCTTGTACCTGGAGCCCTCTACCCAATACCACCGCTGTCCCACCAACGACGACACTAGATGTCCAACACCTGTAAGAGTCACCAGACCAGTTTCACCAGAGATGTTAACCAGCACCACGTAGATGTAATAGATAGTTCCTAGACGTCATCCACCGATCATAAATATCCTCCACTAACTCGTTAACAATATACTGTAGTTACTGTAGTGTCATTAACCTCTCCTTTGATGTCTCTAGTTCCCCAAATCTCTTCCACGTCACTCATTGCTAACACGAAGTCTCTCTGAACACTTGATCTTTTTGTTCCCCGTGTTTTGGTAGATGATCTCTCTCTCTCTCTCTCTCTCTCTCTCTCTTCCTGTCGCCATCTTGACTATTGGTACCATTATTCTCCTAAAGACACAGTCCACACGCCATACACAGCTGTCATTATTATCCACATTAATATATTCACCACAGTTTTTCATTATTCATCGTACCTAACAAAATGTATCCGGGAAAGGATCACTTATTTAGGTAATTATTTATGATTTTGTGTTTACAAAAGACATGGGATATGTGGATTATTTTGACTGGATGGAAGATAAGCTGAGATTTGAGAAAGCTGAATAAAGCTCTGAGTGGTAGCCTTATCTGATGAATAAAGCTCTGAACGTTATCATGTAAATAAAGCTCTGAGTTCTGAGTGTCAATCGTATTAGAAATAAAGATCTGATGGAAAATGGTGATATATTGTTGGGTCAGATAACAGAGGGAAGGAGAGTTGTCTTTGGAGCACTTTACTGCATGTTTCAAGAAGTGTGTGGTCAGGAATTACGTGCCAGCAAAGAGGTGCTTACTTGGTTGAAAAAAAAAAGCTTTACTTCTATGCAGCCTGTTGCTCACAGCAGCTTAATGATAAACGTAAAGTTACAAGGTTTTAAGTGGAAAACACGAATTTAATTAAAGTATTTATAATAGCTTTAGATATATATAAATACAAACAATGAATAAAGAAATTACAATAAAATTGCGTTTCTTCTGGAAATTTGAATGATCAAGGAATTAAGCTACACAGACGGGCAGCCTTCATACAGCAGTTTACCTGGAGGTGAGATTAACTTTTTGCGTTGATGTATAAGTTGGAGTCTACTCCTTAACCTGAACGACTTTCTCCCACTGCTAAACTTGCTTTTTAATGTTATGATTTATTTAGTTATACTTTTTTGTTAGACGATAAAACTGTCAAGAATAATTTATCTCTTACCATTTCTGAATAAATTGCTTTTAAAGGGGATGACCTTTGGATCCCGCGGGTTAGTGAGGTGCCGTATCCGTCTGGTCACCTGCCACACTGCTCAGCACATTATTGCGTATTCAAAGATAAATTTTACGAAAATCATAACCAAATTGGATTTTACTAGTTTTTTATTCAATAATAGACCTCTAAAAAAAATGGAGTATATATGTAGTCGAACCACAAGCCTGACCACAGTAATATCGTTTATTTATAAGTACAGTAAGTAGATAAAGAACTACAAGTCTGACCCTTTCAGTGCCGGATTTAGACCTGTGGAAGCCCATGGGCAGCCTCTTTGTGGAGGCCCCCCTCATTATAACTACCCAAGAGGGTGGGGTGGCGAGTGAAGCGAGCCTAAACATCTGGGAGTTCCGGGGGGCGCTGTAAGCCCCCCGGGAAAATTTTGAAAATTGAACACTACTTTGGAGAATTTTGAAGCCATATGCAGTTATACTAAAAATATTAAAAATATACGGTTCATAAAACCAGGTATTCATGAATTTCAAGGAGTAGCTAGCCTAATTTCTATCACGCTTCTTGCTGAACATAGTTTTACGTGATGGAATAGATAAACATGAATTTTAAAGAAAAAATAAAACTAATCCAAATGAATAAACAAATAAATAAAATGTAATATGTGGAGGCTCCCAGATTGTGAAGGCCCCTGGGCAGCTGCCCACTCCTGAATCCGGCCTTGGACCCTTCGTAAGTAACTCACGTATGAACAAAACATCTTGCTAAAGTTCCCCCCAAAACTCGGGAGAGGATGGAGGCAAGAAGAGCAAACACAGAAACGTATTGTATTTAGGATAAACTTAAGTAGAACCAGTTTTTAATACTGGATTTACCTTATTTACCTAAAAAAAAAATATTTTTTCCTCTTCACCACTGATCGGCTCGTTAGTCGCTTGGGCGATCGGTCACGTCTCTGTTACGCACTGTTGGCAAGTACTGGGCATGCACTGGCTCCTGAATGTACCTGAACCCGCTCCAGTGTTGGTCAAGTCTTGTCTTGAAAGAGCACACATGCGGTGCCGTTACAACACTTTCTGGCAGATTGTTCCAAGCGTTCACAACCCTCACTCCGAAAAAGTTTGCCCTCACAGTTTTCTGGACTTGCAGCTTCTTCAATCTTGAGCTGTGACTCTTTGTGGGGAGAGCGTCCGCCAGCTCCAAGTAAGGACACTCCACTGAGTAGTGCCCCTTGAGATGCTTATACACCTCAATTAGGTCTCCCCTTGCCCGTCTGTAGTATAAGCTAGGCAATTCAGGCGCTCCAATCTCTCAAGGTAGCTGAGGTGCCGTTTTGCAGGCACCAGTCTGGTGGCCCTCCTTTGAATATTTTCAACCAACTGACAGTCGTTAGCATATCTCGGGGACCAGACGAGGTGCCAGTACTCCAGATGGGAAAGCACTTCACTCTTGAAGATTGTTACGAGGAACGGACAGTTTAGATATCTGAACGACCTTCTTATAAGACCCAATAATTTATTTGCCTGATTTACCTTCTTCTCGCAATGGCCCGAAAACTTCAGCTCATTGTCAACATACACACCTAGGTCCATCTCACATTCAGTCTCAAATAGTGCAGTTTCTTCATCCCGTTGGGACATATAATACGCCTCCTCACCGTTGGTACGCCCTAGGTGCATTCTCTTACACTTCGTGACATTGAATCTCAGCAGCCATTTCTTCGACCATTCTTGGAGCCCACAGAGATCCTTCTGCAGCTCTTCACAGTCCGCTTGGTTCTTGATTTCCCGAAATAACTTGGCGTCATCGTCAAACATTTTTATGGAGGCGTGTACAACGTCAGGCATGTCATTTTTGAAACAAATAAACAATAGCGGGCCCAATACACTGTCCTGTGGTACCCCACTTGTGACAGGTACGGATGATGATTTCGTGCCATTAATCACCACACACTGCTTGCGGTCATGTAGAAAGTCTTCTATCCACACTAGGACATTTCCCCGAATTCCGTACCCTTCCAGTTTGATTTTCAGCCTTTCGTGGGGTACACTGTCGAAAGCCTTGGCAAAATCTAGGTAAATATTGTCCATATTACCACCCCGTTCCAGAATATGGGTCCAAATATCCAATACCTTGAGCAATTGTGTTAAGCAGGAGCGCCCCGGCATAAAACCGTGTTGGCAATCTTTTACAAGGTTGTTTCGTAGTAGATTTTCCATTGCGGCATCTCTGACGATACTCTCAATTACTTTGCATATTATGCTGGTCAGGCTCACCGGTCTATAGTTGTTCGTGGAGTGACGATCGCCCTTCTTGAAGATAAGACTCGCATAAGCCATTTTCCATTCACTGGGGACCTTTTGTTCATCCAGGCATTTACAAAACAGGATCTTCAGGGGCTCGGCAAACTCGTTGCACAACTCTCTAAATTAGCACTCTAGGATGCACCATGTCAGGGCCGGGACTCTTATGGACCTTTAGCCTGGACAGTTTATTTCTAATACCCTCTTCTGTGAACACAATGTGGGTCAGTGCCGTGTCGAACCGTCTGTCCTCACACGCAGGAAGGTTAATTGCATCCTCTCATGTGAACACCGAGGAAAAGAAGCTGTTCAATGCCTCAGCTTTGTCCTGGTCAGAATCTGCGTAACTACCATCTTCAAGCCTCAGGTCTGATACTCCTACTCGCGTTTTTAATTTCGACTTTGCATAGCGGTAAAACGCCTTTGGGTTTGACTTGACCTCGCTTGCAACCAGCCTCTGGAACTCCTTCTCAGCCCATCTACACTCTATCTTTGCTTAGTTTTTGGCTCTTGCATACATCCTCCTGTCCTGCTCATCGTTTGACCCAACCCACGTCTTCCTAGAGGCATTGGGTTTGGTCTTGGGTATATATTTATCGATCAAATGGGTCATTATACTAGTTATGATATTCAGGGTAGTGTCTGCGTTCTTGTGCCTTAATGAGTCAGGCCAGATGATACCTCTCATCTCTTCCCTCATCCCGTTGTAATTTCCCTTGTAATATTTGCACCTTGGCCTGGCCTTACCCTGAACTAGGTAACAGTTAAATCTGAATGACAACACTATATGGTGACTGGTGCCAACTGGGGCAAGGTGTTCCAGTTTGGCTACCATACCCTCCTCGTTTGTTATGATGAGGTCAAGTGGTTTGGGTATTTGCTCCCCTCTGTAATGTGTCGAGTCTCTAACATGTTGGAACAGAAAATTAATTCTCAGAGTTTCTACAAAAAGAGTAGCAGGGTTATTGAAGTCATTTGGGGTGAATTCGTTTCTCCAGTCGATGACGCCATAGTTAAAGTCCCCCATGATAAGGAGGTGGCTAGGGTTGAGCATCGCCGCTTTGTCTATTAAGGCTCTTAAGTTCCTTTGATTTAGTGGGCCACAGTTTGGGGATCTGTACATACACCCGACGATAAGTAACCTAATGGACACCCACTCATTTCCATTCCCTTGGTGATTTCCTTTATCTAGAGATTTCGTGAATATGAATCTTAGTGGAGTGAAAATTTCGTTTTCCACCTCCTTTATCATCTTGGTCTGTGCTCCGTCCACTCAGAGGCTTTGAATTCTTTGAAGTTAACTGTTTTCTTTTTGATGATGTCAGTAATTGTTATCTCTCTTAATTAATTTTCATCTCCTGGGGTATGCATTCTCACTTTGCTTCTGGTATATGCATAAAAAAAACCTTGGAATCTTTCTTTATGTTTTGGGGGGAATTTCATCTCGAAGTTTCGCTTAACTGATCCAATTTACTACATAGTCTACATGAGATGTTGTGCTTCGGTATTTCTTCCACTTATGGTATTTTCTTTTGATGGCTTTAATGGATTTATGTTTGTTTCATTCAGCTTATCTCATCCCATCTCTCTTTTGATTTCAAGGGAATACATACCTCTACTGTTCTCTCAAGGATTTTCATCGATTCTTGCCATGATTCGTTTGTGTCTGATTTCTCTCTAACAATACCCCCCCCCCCTTCCACCTAGTTAATGCTCTGTAGTTTGTTACTCATGAGCTGATAAGGCCCTTAGATGAAGTAATAACATCACTCCTCAACCATTCTCTCCTGGCTTATAAAGGTTGTATTCCATCTTTGTATGTAGTGGTCGCTGGGCGGAGTTAGTACCTCCCAGACATTGACCTCGTAGCTTCCTCACTCGTCAAAACTAAACCCAGAATGTTGTTTTCCCTTGTGGGTTCCGTCATGTGTGAGAGTTGAGTCTTGAATGAAGTACAAGAAATTCTTTTCCCTCAGCTCGTGTGTAAGATTCACCCAGTCTATCGTCTAGTGATTAAAATCTCCCATGATGAGAGATTGTCTTCTGGATGATATTTGGATGACTCTATGAAGATCTGCCAATTCCCCTCCGATGTCAGATTGCCTTTATTTTATGCTATTACATCACACAAAATAGATTCAGATGTTTCTTGTTATACAGTAGTTCATCACACTCACCTTCTGTAGCTCCGTCCTTTCTGAATGAATGTTGATGTATTGAACTTTAGAACTTACAGAGCTCAGTCTTCTACAGCTTGCTTATGTTTATTAAATCAACAGGGATGAGCCCCGCAAGTCCGACCTATAACAGTGAGCCAGATAAATGCTCTTTCACATCCCCAATTTGGAGGGAAATTAAACATAAACCTTTGAGAGCCATAGTCCAGAACCTTTCGAGTTTTTCCTGCTGTTCCACGCTTACCTTACGGCCTGTTTTATTTTCATTATCCAGGATTTAGTGGGTACGCCTGTTCACCAGACTTTCTCAGCAATAATCACTTTTACGACGCCCTGGACCCGACCTCCCAGCGCTGGTCCATCAACGCTACCAAGTTTGGCCACAGAGACTTCCTCGATCCTTGTTATCAGGAAGATCTGGAAAACCTGGACTTCTTTGGCTACAATGCGAACGCGACAGCTGCTGAGTTCGAAACTTAAAGACGATACATGACTGGCCAGATTGTGACCCTCGTTAAAGGTGAGATAAGTTGAGTGTACAAGTACCAAAATGTAAATAGATAATTGACAAAAGATATGGCAAATGTAAAAAAAAAAAAAAAATAAAACACGAAATTTGTTTAAAGAATGGCTAGGTCCTTTTTCAGCACAGTAACTAGGAATATATATAACTACTCAGACGTTAACTCGCATTAAACGATACTTTGTCACTTGAAATTATGAACACAATAGCTATAATATCTAGTAGTTAGTTGTTACTCATGTCTAAAAAGTTTGGTGATATACCCATTAGACCAAACAATATATACCTGTATATTGAGGAATTGATAGCTCACTACCTACTACAGAGGTTAAAGACCCAAACACAGTTGATCACTCCATACTGACATTACTGAGCCAGTTCACAGTGAGACTCGAGAAACAACACCTTCGTTTACGGTCTGAGCCAGGGAGAAAGACGATTCATTCCTTTGTTTTAGTTACGCCTCTTAAATCCTTTTCTCACACTCTAGTAATATCAAAATTTAAGGCTTCCACTTCTCAATAAAATAAATCTAAATATTGTGTCCAGCTTATCTGATACTTCGAGTTTCTTTTTCATCTTCAATAAAAATAATAGATATGGGGTAATGACTTCACTGCTTGTGGATAATTATTGATTAGATATCATTATCCACAGTGATTTTTTTATAATATCTCCCAAGAAGAGGTAACAGAAAATAATATATGAGCTAAAAAGTACTTGAAGGTAGAGCAAGTGAGGCAAACATCCTCGTTAGACCAACACTTTATTTGTTTATTCTCTCTGGCTATTCTTTTATTCATTCCTTTATTGCTTATGGTATTAATTCTATTTTGCATATTTTATACACTCTACATACTGTAACTCAGCTCTTTGGGTCTAGGTATGATCACTCTTACTGGTAGTTATACAGTTCAGCTTCCATGTCACTGCTATCCTGAACCTCTCGTGGATCTCAGAAAATATATTACCAGAGTTTTGTAAGAATACCATAATGTTGAGTCATTATGAATCTAGTCAAATTATGCATGGATAACTTTAATGGGACCAGTGTTGTGTCCCTCAGCGCTGTTCACGGAGGAGGGTGACTGTGGACAGTACCTGCCCTACCTGGAGGACACCAGCCGTATGATTATGGACACTGAGGAGCGACACCAGAACCCCGTCGGTGGGTGTCCTGTGGCAGCTTGTACCTGGAGCCCTCTACCCAATACCACCACTGTCCCACCAACCGTTCCATTGATGTCTTCCACCACTGCAGATGACGTCCGCCGCCTCTCGTTATCAAGTATGGTTCATATGTATCACTTACAGCCCCGAGCATGACAACTATCACCGTTGTTCAGAGAGAGAGAGAGAGAGAGAGAGAGAGAGAGAGCTACAATTACGATATGATCAGCGTCACGAATTTTTAAGCGATGGGGCCAAGTAAACGCAGGCTTTGGAGTAAAACTGAATTTCTAAAGATATAACTATACTTTATTCTAATGAGAAGTTAACTAGCTGGTTAACTCTCACACAGGCGGTCGTTAACTTTTACGTTATAGTTGACTTGTGACTATTCCTTTAATCTTGTTTATGTCATTTGTAATCGTTTCGCCTTTTAAAACTTTATATACGTTGTATTCTAATATTTACTTGCAATTCTTAGAGTAAGTTCACCCTGTAAGAGGTGTTCAGTCTTCTGTATATTCCCGGGGCGTATACAGGCTGCAGGTTAATTGCTTTACAATATTAAATTCAGCTTCGGTTGCTTGTCTATACTTACTTCCCGACCTTCTCCACTTTGACTTGGTTTAATTTGTGAACCTGTAATGCATTGTTTTACCTTGCTAACCTAACCTAACCAAACCTAACCTGTAATTCATTGTTTTATCTTGCTAACCTGACTTAATCTAACCTAACCAACCTCAGTAGCTAGACAAAAAATATATGCTAATACTAAGGATGAGCTTGACAAAATATTGCATTACAGGTTTGGTTAGGTTAGGTTAGCAAGATAAAACAATGCATTACAGGTTCACAAATTAAACTAAGTCAGAAAGTAAAGAAAGTAAATAATCAAAGTCGATACTATACTTAAGCCCCAAACTTTCTCTCAAGTCATAATTACAGTAAACAAGTGAAGGTGAATTAGATCTGAAATTGAAGATCATGAGTAAATATGTCTTTAAAACCTCTAGTTACTTATTACAACAACATTAATGTCAGAAATTTTGTCTTTATGAAGTTATAGATTTCAGTACATTACAGTAAAATAGATAACATGAAATTGTTCGCTGTTTTCCTGTGATATATGGACACCTGGTTAACATTACGTATATTTAAGACTTTTACATTAAATAGTCAGTTAATGGCAGGTTGAGATATTATGTTCATGGCTGTATATTTGCTTTATTTGTCTGAATTTTTTACTGATTTTCGATGTCAGAATTTAAATAATGAGAAACAGGAAAAAAATGCTGAAAAGTTTTGTTCGTATATTTATTTGACACCCCCGGGGACTGTGCATAAAACTGGAGGAACAACACAACCGTCCTCGTTCAACCATCGAGGACATTCGGAAAACGTTCATAAATATATATACAGAATCATAAATAATCATTTACAAAATATTCGTAATCAATATCGTCAACAAACAATAAATAAGACTTATAACTAAGAGAGATCTCAGCGTGTCTCACAGGACGCGAAGTTCTGTAAGTTGTCACTAGATGGAGCTGAGCGGAGGTGGCGAGCTGGTGATGGTGGTGTTCCCGCTGGGGTTCTGACTGTCCACCGAGGAGCTAAATTCTCCTGGGGGAGACATGGTCATCCTACATTTACTGTCACTTTGCGTTCGAAAATTTTGGGGTTTCTCATGCATAAATGACTGGCGCCTGACTGTCTCTACATGATCTACGCTTCTGGACTTGATTGACAGGTCAAGGATGATTGAATTATCAGGCTCTGATCTCTCCTCCTCCAGCCAGCGTGTATGATGAGATCGAGACACAGTTGCCTTCACTGACAGGTCAATGGGTGAGTCTTCTTCTCTGTCTTCTTCACAACTGGATGAGGGTCGCGTCTCGCCCCCAGAAGTCTTGTACTCATCAGAGCCCCGACACGTTATCCTTTTACTTAGGGAAGTGAATTCTGTTGACAGTTCAGTAGTTGAAGACAGTGTGGGTTTGGAAAATATTTGTGATTCATTTTCTGCCAATTGTCGCATCCTTTTGATAGATGGGAGTACCAGAGGGTCTTCTGCAAGGCGCTTGGTTGGGAGGGTGAAGTGTCGCGTCGCTGTGGAAGGTTTGTTTGTGTTGATGCTTTGTGGAGGGGTCACTTGCAAGCTTCTGAAGGCGGGAGTGTTGTTGGTGTTGTAGCCACGACTGTAGTATGCTGACACGTGTGGCCGTGTACCATGGAATGCTTGTTGCAGGTACGGGTCAAAGGGGTGATTGGAATAGGGTGAGACTGACAGTGGGAGGTGAGTCAGCAGAAGAGGGTTAAGAGCTGGCCCTGAATATAAACCAGAAGAAGGAAGTACTGAAAATTTCTGATACAGGGATAAATACTCGAGGCCTGGAGGGGGTCTAGGAGCAGCTTCCACGGAGTTGTCGGAGGCGTGAGAGTCTGGACTGCTGAGCGCCGGTGAGGTGCGACGGGGTGAGTGGTGAGGTGTGTCGGTGCCACACACGTCAACGGTATCACTCTCGTCCTCACTGGCGCCGCGGCCCCAGTACCCCACCTCACTACCCAGGTCAGTTGGGGTTCCGGGCGGGGAAGACCCAGGGTCGTCCAGTAGACAGTGAATCTTGAACCAGTTGGAACGTCGACCATACCTGTTGTAGGAGTGTGGTGTTAGTTGTTAGCCTCACGTAACAAATGACTTAACACAGAAAGTTTGATATACAACAGTTTACAATATTGAAGCAACATATTTATTCTAATCCCTTCTCAGGTACTGTTTAAAAGGGACATATTTAACACTACAACAACAGGACCACAAGAGGGACAAATTTAACACTACAAGACCCACCTGGAGCCGGACTTGGACATGCCCACCACCAGACACTTCCGGAGGCGACAAGCTTTACAGGAAGTTCGGTTCTTCTTGTTGATGACGCAGCGGCCGCCGTTCTTACAGTCTCCCAGCGACGACACGTTGTTGTACGTCCGCCCGAAGAACGACTGGGGGAGAAGGGGAGAATAGTTACTGGGGGAGGATAGTTACTGGGGAGGATGGTTGATAGTTACCCGGGAGGATAGTTACTGGGGAGGATAGTTGCTGGGGAGGATAGTTACTGGGGAGATAGTTACTGGGAGAGGATAGTTACCGGGGAAATATAGTTACTGGGGAGGATAGTTACTGGGGGAGGATAGTTACTGGGGAGGATAGTTACTGGGGAGGATAGTTACTGGGGGAGAATAGTTACTGGGGGAGAAGAGTTACTTGGGGAGAATAGTTACTTGGGGAGAAGAGTAACTGGGGGAAGATAGTTACTGGGGAGAATAGTTACTGGGGAGAGACGTTAGGTTATTGAGGGAGAAGAGCTACTGGGGGAGAAGAGGGAGAGGAACGGAGGTGATAATTAACAGAGGTAGCTATCTGAAGGAGGCTCAGAAGAGAGGGTTAAGACTCACCTTACAACCCTCACAGGTGAAGGCGCCGAAGTGAAAACCTGCGGCAGGTTCCCCGCACACTCGACACAGCTGGTTCATCGTGCCCACACCACGCCCACAGCCTATACCACCTGTGGGAGATTACGTATTTTAAATTACTTTGCGTACACACACACACACACACACACACACACTGGACGTAAAATAAACATTGGATAAGAAAGTGATGCCGCTTCAATAATAACACCCGATGCCTCTGTCTCACTATTGAAGATCACGTTCCCATATTAATTAGTAACATTTAATCTGGTGTTTGGATTTTTGAAGTGTCTTGTGTCTTGAATCTCATTATGACATGGTTGATAAGTAAGAAATAAATTTATCTGGCAATAATGAAACCATAGTGATTCCCACACTCTCAACACAGCATCAGTCTTCCCACACTCAACACAATATCAGGCTACACTACCAGTCTTCCCACACTCTCAACACAGCATCAGTCTTCCCACACTCAACACAACATCAGGCTACACTACCAGTCTTCCTACACTCTTAACATACCATCAGGCTTCCCACACTCAACATAACATCAGTCTTCCCACACTCACAGCATCAGACCACACCATGAGGTAAAAATTACTTCCGCGCAACAAGGATAATTTAGGTGGGTTTAAATCATCCCCCCAGTTTGACGACGTGAAAGATCGTCTGCGGTAAATATTTCAGTTCCCACAAGTCTGTTGATGTATCTCTGAGGCGCGTGACTGTCGATGTTCAGTGTATAAATGTCTCTTTCCGCGTCTAGGGGGGGGGGGGAGGAGGAGAAGGAAAAGAAGGAGTTGCATAAGTGATATTTAAGTAAACAAACATATTTCATCCCTTTCAATGTCGACGACCTTAATATCTGCCTAACGAGTCGTAATTATTGACGTATGTAAGTCTATTGTCGTGAGTATGTTGTTTTTATATAGAGGAACCTATTGTGTCGTTATGAGGAGGTGTAGGAGAGGAGGAGTGTGGTAGAGGAGGAGGAGGAGGAGGTAGAAGAAGAAGAGAACTGGTATTGTCGTGTGTGTGTGTTTAAGTGTCCTTTCGTACTTTTCTTCTATGGGTAGGAACAGTTTCACAGCTAAAGGAAAACGGATAAAGTGTTGTCAAGATATTATGAGAAATCAGAGAGCATCTTACAGGTGCAGAAGATTTACCCCCCCAAAAGCTCAATTAGGTTATTATCCAAAATATTACAGGTAGGGAGGCCTTGACACACGAAAGTTAATTACCTGGAGCATTATACAGCAGGTCGTGTGGGTGCACCTGGCTGTCTTTCTCACAGGTATACCTGCCTAATATCACAGGTAATTAATTAATTATCTGAGTGTATCTTCCAGTCATGCACGAACGATCCCTAAAAAAAATGAGAACGAAAAAAATAAAATGAAACAGCTGTCAATGACACGGCCATGAGTGTCCTTCCATCGTGTAAACTAATCTATTCTTTGGTGGGAAATACACACAACACACACTAAAATCCATACACATATACGAGTATTCATACACACCAAACATACACAAACACTCCCATAAGGTTGTTGATACCGAAATTTGGGGAGGGTCTTCATCACCTGTACCGTCTATACCTGTAGTCACCTGGACGCAAATTACAGAGTACTACACCATAACACCTGTAACGTGGGACTGTGACGCTTTGTATAATTCTGTATCTACTGTTTATCTGTGTCTGATGTCTTTGTCATTTTAATATGTCTTATAGGTCTGTCGGGTGAGTGTTGTTTTATCTACTGAGGTCTTATGTCTGTGTGTTATGTACTTCTATGTGTATGTCGGTGGAAGTGGAGTATGCTAAGGGTCTGTTGGGCGGGGAATAAGCCTGGATGAGCGTGGAAGATAAAGGGGGCGGTCATCGACATGCTCCGGTGGGCGTGCAAACTGTCCTGGTGGGCGTGGCAAAGTACTTCAATGGTGTGTGTGTGTGTGTGTGTGTGTGTGTGTGTGTGTGTGTGTGTGTGTGTGAGTCAGGGGTGGGTTGAGTGCGGATGGGTAATGGGGATGAGGGAGGGTGGGTGGGTGGGTGTAGGGTGGATCTATGGGCGTAATGGAAAGGGGCGAGATTTAGTATAAAGGTTAGGGAGAGAGGGAAGGAGGGAGGGAAGGAAGGAAGGAAGGAAGGAGTGAAGGAGGATAGGTTCCCACGACCCCCTTTCACATGGGCGGCGACGCGAGCAGTAAGTTACGCCTACTTGACGCCCAACACCCCTGAAAATATCACGTACAGTACACCATCTCGCTAGTGCCCTTCTGCTGGGCTGTGGAGTTGAGGGTGTTGTGGGAGGGGCGTGGTGGAAGGGACTTAGGAGGGGCGGAGTGGGAGAGGCATAGTGGGAGGGGCGCGGTGGTAGGGACTTAGGAGGGGCGGAGTGGGAGAGGCATAGTGGGAGGGGCATGGTAGGAGGGGCTTAGCAGGAGAGTGTATTAGAGTAATGGGAAGAGAAAGGAAAGTAAAGGGATGGGTTTGTGTGTGTGTGTGTGTGTGTGTGTGTGTGTGTGTGTGTGTGTGTGTGTGTGTGTGTGTGTGCAGGGTTAGCGGTACAATACACGTACTATACATACATGTATACTGTCCGAGTGAATTTAAATCATAGCAAAACAATATAGATAAGGTATTAAAATATTCACATTATCACCATCTCCACTACTACTACCTCTACCACCATCATCATCATCACCATCTCCACCACTAACAAGCAAACACCATCACCAACAGGACGGACATTCACACGTCAATGTTCACACAAATTGTTGGACATTTTCTTGATTATCTCAACCAGGTTTACGTACATTTGGATACGGTGAACGCCTCTCCCTCCAGTAACATCCATCACCCAAAACCTCACCTCACCAGACACAACACAATAACTGATAATTTTCTCTCATTTACGTACTGAATTATTGAAGATGTAACTGGCTTGGGGCGGTACTAACAATCTTGGCTTAACAAAAACACAAAAGAAAAGTATTAAGATTTTTTTTTTTAAGTGTGGCGGTGATTTTGTTGTCTGGATGTTGAATGGTGCGTAAGTGGTACAGGCGGCCATGTATCACACACCCAGGACCCGCCAGCCCTGAGCTGCGACGAGGAAATGTAGCAATTGGTCTGGGAAACTCCTGTGGTCCGTGACACTGGTAACGAGTGGTGAGGGAGTGGGAGGGAAGAGGACGGGGTGGGAGGGAAGAGGACGGGATGAGGAGGGAAGAATACGGGGTGAGGAGGGAAGAGGACGGGGTGAGGAGGGAAGAGGACGGGGTGAGGAGGAGGAAGGGAAGTAGGGGGTGAGGATGGGGTGGAAGACAAGGCGGGTGGAGCAGGGGGAAGGGGAAGTAAAGAGGGGGTGGGGATGTGAAGGAAGCCGGGAGAGGGGATGTTGTGGAGACTGGAGGAAGGGGAAATAAGTGGGAGTGAAGGAAGCAAGGAGAAAATTGTTTTTGAGATAGGAAGAAGGATGGAAGGAGGGAAGGAGGAGAGGTGTGTATCGCCAGCACCAAGGAGCGTCTTGTGTTTGAGTCGCTGGGGGGTGACGGGTCGCACCACAACCGTCACTTTCAGTGTAAGATTGATGGATCTGACCAACTATTATCGCCAGAGAGTTACCTGTGACGGAGATTATTTTTCAAAATTACTGACAACAAAGATAAGAGGGAAACAGTAGCCGATATTAAAGATAAGAGGGGAAACAGTAACCGATATTACACTGAAGACCATAACTAGACACCAACTATTAAATGTTGTGCTGGTGGTACAGTAATGAGGATGGATCATTTTAAACACACGTGCCCTAAACTTCGTCTCGCTTACCACCAGCAATGTTTTTCAGATCCTGCAAACGTTCCCGAGTCTTTGTAAACGTTTGGTCAGGAATGATTGCTGCACTCCGCATTGTGTCAATCAGCGCCTCGTAGTATCTCGCTCTTAAACATTATTTTATTTGTATTTTTCTCTTCGCCTCGCCCTGCGCCCTTTCCGTGACCATGCCCATCGAGTCCTTTGGAAGTTCTCACTCTCTTTTTCATTTTCTACCTTCCCACTAGGGACTTTTACTCTCATCTTCCTCCTAGTTTTTCCCCCACTCAAGACTTTCTTTTCCCCTTCTCCCCGGGTCATAACCTCCCTCTTTCCTTCTCTACGCATCACCTCTCTCTCTCTCTCCTTCTATCTCGTTCCATCCCCCTCCTCATTTTCCTTTTCTCTCCCTCCTTCCGTCACACATCTCCCTCTTACCAACTCTACCCTACCCCACACGCACACAGCTGCCAGACGACATGTAAGGATGAACGAGGTGTTTGTGACAATGAACAAGTAGACGGGGGGAATAACGCAGTTACCCTTCGATATCACCTCATCTCAGCGACCAGCGGAGCGTGAAGATTAGCTTTGGTATCGCCTAGTCACGCCGGAGCCTGAGTGCTATTATTACTTTACCCTTCCGTAAAGCTGCGGCCCTGGGCTACTACTAGTACAACTTACTACCACTGATGAGTCATAACGTGAGCTAAATATACTGAAAGTAATGCCAATCACGAGAAATGTTGCAACAGGTAGCCACGTGGGTTATATACAGTATGTACAGTACCAGGGCATTATCGTTTGGGAGAGATCACATGAAGAGTAGACACTCCAGCTTAGAGTGAAATAAGCTTGGATGTTTGATCTTCAGGTGATCCCATGTAAGGATATCTGTTAAGTCTTTCAGGTGAATAAAATGCTTTTCTCTTCCCCCTTTCTTTGTCAAAGGTACTTTCTCACCATCAGTCATATAACACTTCTTACCTTTCAATCTTCATCACAGCCTCTAGCAGGTGCCACCATCACGTCTACTAATCCAGTGTTACCAAGATGAAAGACCGCCGTCACGAGAATCAGTGTAACCAATTAAGAGGGAATTTGTGGCGGACTTTTATCAATCACGGTAACAGCTCCGGAGATATGATACACTGCTGCGGTTTTACTCTTAAATTTCCCATGGGAGAAGTAGGTTCTGTATCTAGGTATCACCTTGCGTCTAACAGCGGGGGCAGGACACTTTCCTGTCCTATCTTTCTATCTCTCTCTTGCTCC